CAACTTTGTTTTCTAGGTCGTAACTTTAATACCTATATTTATTTTCATGTAATAGGTATGGTTAAACTAAAAATATTACATAGAGGGAGCTGTGATGATAGGTTATAAAACATCGATAATTTAGTTTCTTTGGAGGCGATGATGTTTTCGTGCTGAATGAGTTTAAACGATCAGATTGTGCTGCTTTAAAGCTAACTTGATTTTCTGTGAGTATAACTAAACTAATAGTGAAGATTAATCCAGGCGTGTCTGGATATAATTCACTAATATATTTAATAATATTATGTGGCCCTCCGTATTGCTTATTTACAACAGAATTTAAAAAAAAAACAGTAGTCAACTTTTAACCACGATCGTACATCGGCTATTATTTATTTTATGATTTTAATCCAACACCTCTATTATCGGTATAATAACACTACACGGTTATACATAAACAGTTTACATTTTATACGTGTCACACCAATGTCATAACGTAGTATTGCCAGTATTGGGTATAGTTCATACGGGTTTTAATGTGCGATTTCCCTGTAATAATATTATTTTATCTGCCCGCGTGTCAGTACACAGTTTCGATTATACGGGTAACAACGTTTAGGTATAGTTAATCAAAAATAACAACAAACTGTGAGATCGATTTTTTTCATTTCGCAATTTTTAGAATTCAATACAAATCGCATTTTCGAGTTTCCAGTAGTGGCGATGGTGTACTATTATAGTTTATCTGTTACACTGTTGCCGCGTTTTATGTCCGCGAGAGCATTTTATTATCATTATTATTGTTGTAACCGCGGCTGATTTCGTTTTGTGCAACTCTGGCGGGCTTTTATCCGTTAAAATTAAATATTATATTGGCTGGAGAATAATTCGAGATGCGATTTATTATTTGGTGTTTTCCATTTGTAACGCTATCGCCGCAGTAGAATAGTATAAAATAAACGGTTCAATTGCCATTTGCCGCTATTGCTGACAAAATTAAAACAAAAACCGATAAAAAACCTTCTCCCGGCGACGACGGCGACGCGATGTAGGAAAATAATAAACGCGTAATGCATTGCAAAATGGAAATCTAATTTCACTGGTCGGCTGATATGCATTATACATATGGTTTTGTTGTAGGCACCTGGTACCTACTTTCAGTACTTGCAATCATTATTTATATGAATATAATATTCAGACATGCAGTATACACAGACATTCGGATTTATTATCTATAGTATGATGGACTAGATATTAATACCCTATATTGATTTATTTAATTTATACTAACGTCAATAATTGCAAAGTTTGGTGAGAATTTACAAGTCACATATAAGTTTAATGCGAATGTGTGTGTGTGAACATTAGTAAGAACAAAACAAAACATAGCAAAATAAAACAAGACAGTGTTTTACATACCTATATAAGCTACAAGTTATGGTGTGAATGTGACTATATTGATAAAATGGTATGATAATTAAAGGTATACCTGCTATACCGTTCAAACCTGAAACCTACAACCTATATTATATATCTACCGCAATACCGTACATGCCATATTATATTATTAAAGTAATAAAGTCACACATTATGTTTGGGGACATAGGTACACAATAATATTATTATTGTTTGTATTCGCTACGCGGCACGGTACGTCAAATGTAATACCTACTAACTGTTGTCTATTCTATAATCAATGGTTATATTATTACAACGGGTTAATCGTCGTTTTTACGTGCACAATGTTTCGGAAAATCGGATTGCCAGGGTAGGACCAGTAATGATTGTTGGCTCGAAATAAATTATTGTCCTTCAATATAGGTGTTTTGTCTGTGTCTATACGAGACTAAGGACATGCTCGAATGGTTCAAGTATAACGATTAACGAAAAAAAAACCAATACCAAAAACAGTTCCAAAGATTAAATATTTCTACAAACGCTATAGGTACTATACACACGAAAAATAGTCAATATTTATTATTTTTCAGAAAATTGTGTTAGTATGTATTAATAATATGTTCTTTGAGTTTGTCCACAAAAACTGCAGAGAAATCTGAAGAATAATTATTTTTTAGATTTTGAATATAATATTATAGTACTTATCGAAATAAATAAATAGAAGCTGCCCGATGTAGGCATACTTTCCAATTTGTATACTACTCTAAAAAGTGTTATTGCCAAAAACCTCGTCTTCTTACAGTCATTATGATATAGGTACTAAGCTCGTTGGCTGTGCAGAGTTTAAGTCCATTCGTATTGTAATTTAAATCATAATAATTTGTAATGTACCACTCCACGCTGTCGATCCGCTTTACAAATTTTCGAACACTTATGAACTTATAAATGTAGGTATAATACATGCATGCATGCACATTATATACATACATACATACATTTTACGTACTCACATATATGAATACCGAATTCATACATATTATAAATATACAATAGAGAATGAACTGTGTGTGTATATATATATATATATATATATATATAGCACCCATATATTTTAATACGGATAAAATGCGACGAAAATAAACGAAATTGACGCCGAGGAATTTCAATTATTATTATTTTTCATATTTTATTCGGTGAATTCAGTTTACGGGCATTACACATACCCCTTCAGTGCGAGTAATATACAAAGTAGTTATACAAACCAAATGGTATGTACTTAAATTATTATTTTCTACGTAATGCGATTCTACCTGAATGTGATCGCATAATCGTTCCAGCGTGGCAGCGTTAATAATGCCGAATATATAAGTATGTGATTTATTTATATTATAATATTATGTTATGGTTATTACTTATTACCTATATGAACATAACTATAATATAAGTAAGCATGTCTAATCAGATTCTTATTAACTTGAAACGAGATGAGCTTCAGGTTTGAAATGATTTCTGAACACACTCTCTTCAAATGCAATCCAGTAAAAACCGTAACAACCAATTGAAAATCTATTAATCTACATTTTCAAAAATATATACAGATGAATGAATTATTGTTAGACCGAAGCATCGTTTTAAAATTAAATCAATTTTTACCCATTTGACGCAGTAACGAATGGAAAGATGAGCCTTGCAAGGGCTACAAGAGTGGGAAACCAATTTTCAGAACCGATCATACAAAGGTGATACGATTTTGTTCATAGCTAGAATGATGTTTTTAGTCTCGGGACCTAAAGTACCTATATCTAACACTACTACATGTCTACAACTAACATTAAATATTTAAATAACTACAAATCTTATGGTCAGTACAATTTAAATCTGTGAATAAAGTGGTGGATAAGGGTGACTGGGGGGGAAGTACGTTCACCTCAGCAAGAATATTGTTATATCTCAGGGTCTAAGACTTAAAATGTTATGCTACTACAATAAATGGATGCATGCACATATTGACTGTATTGTATGTCAGTGTCTCGGGTTTTTAAAACTTTTTTTAATTTTCAAATTATAGTTTACCATCAGGTAAAAATGTATTTTTATTTTAGCTGAACGCCCTTGATTTAAAAACGTTTTGTTCCTAATTAATGAAGATTAATTAGAGGCCATGCTATTTTACCGGATTGGTAATCAAATTAAATCCAAAACGTTTTGATGGCGTTACACATAACTCTGAAATCCAAAGTAAAATAAATGTTTCGTAATCTATTATTTTTTGCATTTTACTTCAAACGAATTTATTGGTCACGGTCATCGAACACCAGTAAGCATTATACTGGATGTAATAGCCTATAAGTTAGTTAAATACACAACGGATCGCATTTAATATATTTGGTACAAATGAAACAAAATTATTTAGTGTTTACCAATATAGATTGTTTATGTCATAACTGATTTTAAACTCAACTACATTCAACACAAAATTGATGATTTTAATTCTGAACAAATAAACAATAATAGTACCTAAATGTTTCGATGTCCAATGATAATTGTTTTTAATTTTTTCTTAGCAAAACCCCATAGTTATTAGAGCGATTAACTGATATTTAAATATTTTTTGCAAACGCTAGTGAAACGAAATGATTTAAACCTATTTAAAATTTCTAGAATTAAATATTAATACTCTCCTAAATCTAATTGAGCACGCACGCAATTGTTTACGCACGCCGCATAGGAAGTTGATGTTTCGATGTTGTAAAAGTACACCGTACACTAATCCACATAGCCGCATATGGGTACCTAAATTAGTTTTATAGGTATCAATGCTTAATTAAATATTAGACGGTGTTGTAATGCACTAGTGCGTGTAAGTTTAATAATATAATCGTATCAATATGGATAATATTCTAACGATGATTGTATTCATCTAATCACGGTTAAAACAATTTACTTCATTCTCGGCACCGACTATTATAAAAGATGAAAAATCGGTGCACGGTCTTATCAAAAGACGTTCTTACGCATATTATATTTGCAAGCATATACTATAAACATAATAAAAGTATAGGTAATCGTAAATCATAATATTTTCTCGCCCCGTCCAATTAAGTGTGTCTGTGTTGACTTTATTATTATTGGACTTTGTTTTAGAGAGTCCGTTTCAAAAACCCGGATAACTAGTTTTTTTTTTTTTACGGGCAAAGTCATCTAATAGTTTTAAAACTGCAGTAGGTACATATAATAATAAATTACGAAAAATATAATCAAACGAAATTGGTCGGGACGGACGGATGACGATTAAAATTAAAAACCGCTTTCTTGCTATCGACTCGTACAATAATTATATGCGATTCTCGCGGCTGGTGCATTTAATAATTTATGATAATATACTATTATGTATGCAAGCGGCAAAATGGTTGTTATCACAAGTTCTACGACGCCAAGTGTTAAACTCTGTTATCACTTACCGCGAAGTGTTTTTTTTTACAGTTCACGGGGCACGGGCCACGACACACGCGCGTCTAAATTGTAATCCCATTTTAACTTTACACAGATCTGGTCACCTTTGGCCCATTGTAATTTCGTATGTACAATGACAATAGTGATAATATCATTTATTACGCGTCAACGATTGCAGTGGTCTTGAAAATACTAACACGCTGATTGTATGCGATTATAATATGCGAACCTCTCCGACTCTTGCAAACAATTTATAGTAGGTGTATGTATATACGCTATCGCACAAATTATATAGGATGCGCTCGTTTTTCGACGAGGTGTCATTAAACTGCACTCGTCCGAATCGCCCCCAAAACTCACAATCCCGCCGGTCAAAATTACTTATATACTTACGACTTGCCTTTAATATAATAATATATTCGTCGTCGTTGACTCGTTCAACAGGTCCGTTGCATGCGCCATAGCCCATAGGTACACCAGCTATATATTTACGAGGTACGTAGGTATAATATACCTGGTATACATACATATTACAATACCAATTAAATGTTTTCGTCACTCTGGACAAATGACGTTTTGATAAAGCTAATATAATATTGTATACAGTAAAAAATTAAATAACACATAATAATACTCGGGTATCTACTACACCTATTTTGTTCATCAAAACCGGGTTCACGCATTTGCAACTCCTTGAAGGCCAAATTTACTTCCATGCAATATCATAATATTGCATGCCATTCGTACAATTTGAATTTGAACTTGCATGATGCTTGTTATGGTGGATCGGACAGCTTATTGTCTTGTTGCATACATAAAATAACACATGCGAGAAAAAGCAAGCGAAATATTGTATAAAATATGTGAGCTCAGCCAAACCGAGATAAATAATATTATGTAACTTCACTCGAGTTTTGCTATTTTTTCTCCTCGTTCCGGTTCGGCTTGGTAATGATTTTTAGCAGTGTACTTAAACATATCATTACATTATATTATATACTACCATAATACCTATACATAGGTAAACTACTATTTTAACGAATAACGATTATATTGTCTCCGCGTGCAGTAAATAACCACTACGATGGTGCCATATCGTTGCCGTTGGGGCGGCGGGTTTATTTCGACATTGGTGGCGATGGCGGCGGTCCTCGCGTGCGGTGCGGTCGCAGGGACGATGGAAGTCGAGTACAGCTGGGTGTACGTGGACTATACATTTGCCAGTCCCAATCACAGGGAATCGGCCATAAACTCCAAGAAGTTCATTCCGGAAAACTGTGTCATACTGGACGTGGACATATTTCAAGGTGAATATATTAAAATAATTTATACTCTGCGGCTACACAAAACATTAAATACAATCTGAGACTCAGTCACGATGTATGCGTGGTTGTTATGACCGTCATTTTTGTGTAATTTAATATAATGTTTAGCACACGTATAAATAGTGCCCTGGTTATAGCATGTAATATTACCATATTGGTATATACCACCAAAGTACCAACCCATAGTCGGACAGGAAAGTTTTGGACTACTGCGAAATTTTAATTGGGGCCCCTGCACGAAAAAAAGTCTTCGAGGAGTGATTGAGTCAAACGAAAAAAAAAGGCCTCATTGCCAAAATATGGAAGGGGTCCAACGAGAAATTTCCGGTTTTTAGCGTGTAAATATGTAGGGAGCTCTGGGGACTGAATCCCACTAAATCCCTGAATTCAAGGTAGAATATTTCCCAAATATAACTCAATGACCGGATAATGTAACAAAATGTATAATATAAATAATAATGTAAGCATGTAGCACATTTACTATTTACAACAACATATTGGTATTACCCGTATATTGTTGTGTAGGAAAAATACGGTAAACAATAAGTTAAATATAGGTATATGAAGTATGTAGGTAATTATACATTATATACACATATATTTACAGTATATACATGGTTTTATTAAGTTTTTTCAACATTATTGTATTTATATTTTATATGGTAGAATTGAGCAAAAAAGTAATCGTCAAGCTACTTGACTCGAGTAGGTAAAACGCTCAGGTATAAATCTACGCGAAGGGACGAAGTGTACGTAAATCACTGTTATATAGCCATATACAGACATTCCAAACTCAAAGTATCAACTGGGCCAAATATATTTTATGTTAATACCTAGTTAGAACTATACAAACCACGCATAAAAATAGTTTCATTTTAAATCTTGGAAACCTAGTTTCGAATCTAGTCTACAAACATATAGTTTTATCTGAATATTTTTTGTAGAAAACTAGTTAATTTTTACTTGTTTTATACGATGACACGCAATGTTGGAAGACAAGTTAAATCTTCTTTTTATAATTGTGTTCTCCATAGATATAATTTAAATTTGAAAGCCATAACATGATCATTAATAATTGCTGTTAATTGTTATAATTTGATCTCTTCCTCACAATTTTAAATTTAAGTCCGACAATGCTTTGTCACCTATTCGACCATGAAGAATAGGTCTCGTAACCACATTTGATCCTTAAATCTGGCATCTTGTTATTTAGATTCTATAGACATTAAACATTTGTGTATGGATTTTTTATCTTCCAGAATCTTTTTAATACATTATTGGGCCATAATAACCAGCACGCTGCTGTAAAGTATGGTAAACCCGAATATCGATTTTCTAAATCGTTTAAGTAAATCAAAAATTGTCTTTGGTTCAAACCACTGGATATAACATTAAAAACCCTTCTTCTGTTATAATATTGTCATTTATCAATAATACTTATTCAATTACAGTTTATCAGAAGATAAGACAAAGAAATAACATAAATGTATACCAAATTTACCCTTCTCTAACTATAGTAGGTGCACGAATGAAAATATTGTAATTTTTTTTTTTTACTATGTCAAATAACAACAACAAAACAAAATCAATTTGCCGGGATTTGAGAAAATTTAAAAGTTCCTAGGTGGATAATATATTTACAAGAACCAATTTTCTACTAGAAATCATCTTCAAAATTGATATTCAGAACATTTTTTTCTACCTTAAAACATGTACACACACACAGAAAAAAAAAATTAAGACACATCATTTTGAAATCCATATACATTCATCGCTGAGTAAGATAATTCAGTAAGAAATAATTTTAGGCGAGACTTAAGCCCCTTAGTTACCAAGTTTAGTTACGCCTATTTTTGCAACCTACCTGTAAGGCTGTAACCAACTTGATGAAATCCTTGATATATTGATATATATGATTATTATATATATATATGTGTATGTTTATGATAATATGTGTAATATGTATTGATTTCAGGCTTCAGCGTAGCTGAAATGTTTTTTTTTTTTTAATCACTTATCCGTATATTATATTATATAGACACGCGCACCAGCACCGTTTGTTTTAAAATTAGTTCAGTGGGTATTGCGAACAATTACAAGTTACATCACAGATTATACACATTTATATTGTTATTGGCATGGAAAAAAATCTGTTTACTTTTTTTCATACATTAATAATAAGTATGCTTAATTTTATTTCCTGCGCGTATCGATATCCACCGGTATATCACAAGCAATTATTTTGCCATCTAAATCAATCTTTGTTTTATTCAGAAAAAATCTATTTCGTCACCCAACAATTTAGTAATCGCCATTTCTTTTATCGTATTATTATCATTATTTTTTTTTGTCACAAAATATAAGTTGTTTTTGACATAAACGTAGGTATTTATAAATGCATAGAGCTCTATTTAAAATTATAATAAATCCCGGTTTTTATATTAAATGAAAATTTGAAGCACAATTTCATATTTTATATATTTTATATTCACTTACATTTAATTAATACAGAAAAATTATTTTATTGATTTATTATTGTTTTAACGACGTTGAATGGATTAGTAGTTTAAATTTAATATTATATCAAATAATTTACTATACGAATTATGAGATTATTACATTACAACCATGTGTACACCATATAAAATATATTAGATGTTTTTTTTTAATTATAAATAATTGTACGATTATTATTATTAACATAAAGTAATTAATTATATTACGCATTATTTTTTTAGAACATAACAAATGCCTTATATTATATGCAAATAATATATGTAAATAATTTCAAACATTTCACTTTCTCTTCTGGCTTAGGTCCACCTGAAGCAAAAATATTCTTCAATATGGGTTCAAATTCAAATCCTGTAATCAAACAACGAGTGTTCGTAACGGTTCCTCGTATCAAGCCAGGAAATCCTGCATCGATCGCGGAAATAGTTCCTGGGGATCGCCCTAGTTCCGTACTGTTAGCGCCATACCCAAATTGGAAGGCTAATACGATTTCGGAAGACACAATCAATTGTGACGATACGATTGTTTCAGTATTTAGAACCAAAGTGAGTGAACAATATCAATTGAACTATAAAATCATCAAATTAATTCATACGTCATATGTATTTAGATTGACCATCTCGGTCGATTTTGGGTTATTGATGTCGGCACACTAGACCAATTTGAGATGACAGCCCGCTCCGTGTGCCCCCCAAAACTTTTGATATTTGACTTGAAAAATGGCGATAGAGTTATAAGTGAGAACTGTTATTTTTGTTTTGTTTTTTCGATACACTGACATCTCTAATTTTGACTCATTATCTTTGTTATAGAAACTTATAAATTCCCATCGTCACAGGTAAAAGACGTTTCGTTGTTTACTAACATCGAAGTGGAAATCGAAGATTCAAAGGGTCGTAATACATTTGCTTACATAACCGATACTACTGCGTATAAACTTATCGTGTACGATTTTAAAAATGATGAAAGTTGGGTGGTAGATCAAGCATATTTCTACCCTTACCCCAATAAAGCTCATTTTAAAATCAAAGGAGTTAACTTTGACTTAATGGATGGAATATTGGGATTAGCATTAGGTAATAAATTTGGCATTGTATTTAATGATTACCTATAACATATAATATCTGATGTTCAGAAATGTCATTGCTTAGGTCCTATAATAAAAAACGACCGAAAACTGTATTTCCACGCATTCGCTAGCGTCAGGGAATCGTGGGTGAATACCAACACATTAAAAAATAGATCGTTGTTTCAAAATGGTTTAATCGACGGTTCCGGTACATTCTTTTTGTCTTCGGAAGTTCGAGAAACCCAATCCAGTGTTGAAGTAATGACTGACAATGGAGTACTTATATTCGCATCAATGGACAGCAGTTTGGGTTGTTGGAACAGCCAGGACCCGTTTAACACTAAAAACATCCACACAATATATAAGGTACCTAACCTATATTATAATAACTACCTACTCACAAAAAATTAATTGAATTACAGTTAGTACTATAATGTAGTGCGTTTCTGTATATTTTTGTATTTAATTAAATTGTATGAGTTCAGCTTTGTAAAATATGCTTATATTGAAACTACCAAAATTGGTATGGTCACTACTCACTATATAATATGGTACTAGTGTATTTATAGATCATTGGCTACTGGTAAATTCCTAAGAGTAATAGGTAATTGGTAAGTTAAGTTTTGTGGAGGACGCCAGGAGTTAACCCCAGTTGGGTTAACAACAGATTTCGGAAACATCGGTATTTTTTTCTTAGGAACAGTAAGATCTAAATCTTATTTGCGTTTATAGTAAAACTAAATAATATTTTTGAAGGGGATTGTAGCATTTGTTGAGTGTTTAATGTAAAATCCAAATTTGTAATCGTATAAATTTGTTATCTTTTAGAGTGACGAAGATTTTCAATTTCCCAGTGGCATGAAAATTGCGGGTGACAAAGTGTGGGCAGTGTCAAGCCAACTTCAAAATCATTTCACAACTATGGTCACTAATCGAAAATCAGTCAAGTACAGGGTGCTGGTTGGTCGAGTTGACGAATTGATAAGACGCACAGGATGCGATAAGAGGTCGGCATATGTCGATATAAAAATGTCATCTAATGTACAGAATCTTGACCCCTCAAAAGACCGCTTGGTATTTAGTGGTAAAAGAAAGTAAGCACGGTAAAAGGGATGCTTGCTTAATATTTAAAAGAATTAAAAATTAGTGCGTAATATAATATATTAGTTGACGTAGTTTCACACTTTAATTTGTGATTATAGTGAAAATTGGTACACGATTACATGCATATTTGCACAAAATGATTTAACCTTGACACAATTATGTATCTAAATGAACCACATTTTTAGTAGAATTTATACCTATAATAACTTACGAACCTTAAAATGTTTCAAGGACTAACAAATTATTCTCACGTGTCAATAGACAAATTTTATGAACTATTATAGTGTTTGTTATGTATAATCAATATGTTGTATATATTTAATTTATTTAAAATATTTTTCTGTAAATATAATAAAATATCGTATTGCAGTTAATGTGTATTTTTGTAAAAAAAAAAAATGCTTCACATCTATGGATTGGTTTCTCTTGTTGCGGTAATTAGTATAATCCTTTCCTAGTTAGAATCTACAGGTACACATACAGCTAATATACATTTTTTTTATTTTTCAATAGGACGACAGTTGATTACGATAATGACGAATTTCTAGTCGAATCGTTCGACGATAACATATTGCACGAATGGCGCGCGGTACCAGACACCGAACCGTGGAGTTATTCGAGAATGTCTCGGGTGTTTGAAAACAAAAATGGAGCACAGCAGACGCCTGTCAAGTCGTTGGTATTGACCGGAAACGTAAACGTACACAGTCACAGTAAATCGGCGTCTTTGTCCTACGATTGCCGTATGAGTATGATCAACGGTCAACTGAAAAATCCCGACTGTTTGGGCAATTCTCGTCGGAGGAACCGGATGAGGCGCGGTCCGGGTCCTCTGAGGTGACATCGTTTATTATAGTGACCTGTTGCCTGTGCACATCACTGTGACATACGAGTCGTGTGACGGCCCATATTCATTTCCAGAAGAAATTTATAACCAACTTCTGCGATATGGTTTTTTTTTTTTTATATATACATAATTTGAACCGTACACAACCTCATAGGTCATAATTATAAATAATAAATGTTACGATCTTCAGTGTTTGTATATAGTATTTAGAGATCGCGATTGCGCAACGCGTATACAGCGGAAGTAGCATCTCACGTTGTTTCTAGAAGCTCATTAATAGGTACATAATTAGTTACGTTCGTATAAGTATGAGTTAAGTAAGTTAAAGACACATAAGTAAGTGTGTACTGAAGAATACATTTTGCGTTCTAAATGTGATTAGTGCATGTCCATAAACCGTTTTAAGAAATCTAGGTGTTTATAGACGATGAGAAATAATTATGCAATGATTAAAACATAATATTACCTACATTCTGCGGCACCGTTGCCAGAATTTTGGTGTATAGGATAAACGTGAATAATGTAACGGAGCATAATTAGAACTATTCAAATAATATAAAAACTGATTTTCTTAATTTTAAATATTCAAATAGCTTACTGTTTTTAATTTCCATTTTCAATTTGGTTTACTGATATAAACTATGAACTATAATAACTGGTATTTATTCTATATCATTATATGACTCTATAATATAGGAATATCCATAAAATAGATACAATGATTTATTACAGTACTCCATACTTACTGTATGCCTATATTCCTTACACTCCTTAGATGTATTTATTATTATTGCATTAATTAATAATTGTGATTTTTGAATAAATCCCATATCGTTTGTTTGATACACGCGATTTGATGATCACAAATCATAACATAATATTTGTTTCAGAAAAAAAATACCATATAAAAACGATTAATTATTAATTATCTTAACTCTTAAGATTAGATTAAATATTATTCATTATGAGTTATCAATTATAACTAATTGCTAGATATACTTACCTATATCATAGGCTATAGTAAATATTAAGTTAAAACGTAAATTGTGAATAAATAGTAGGTAGGTAACAAATATTATAATCATACAGCATAATGCTCATTGCTCATTAATAAAACAGTACAAACAAGAATTATTTATTAGTTATAAGTTATAACTTAAAAATATTTACTGACCAAATTATAAATTTAAGCAAAATACTTAAATATCATAAATAATCTAACTAAATATTTTACTAAAAAAACTGTGTACATACAGTTTTACACAATATGTTAATATATATATATACGTACCATGTTTTCATATAATTACCTAAGTAATTTAAAATATAAGAATATGTGTCATATATTATTTGTACGTTCTACATATGTTTGAATTGTATTATAGATGTATTATTATTAGTTTATTACATGTTTACATTTGATAACAATTTATGACCAGAAAATCGCTTAATTTAATTTCTTATAAAGTCCACATGACCTATAATATGTTTGACCTCATTTCATTACATAGAATAATATGTAATAAATACTCATTACTTGTTACCTACTCGAATAGTCATTAGTTATTAATTATTATAATTTTACTTATTGGCTTTCAATTTTTAGCTATAGCGAATAAAATATATTTGTACCGTTAATCTTAAAAAATAAATAAATATTGTGTACATACATGTTATAAGTTATAAAAATACACAAAATATAAAAGTTAGTCTTACATTTCAAAATATATTTTTCGAAAACATTTTGCAGGATAGGATGTGTTGAATCTCCAAAATCCATCCTATATGTGTGTAAGTATATATTAGGTCACAGAAATGCAATGCGTCCTGCAGGCTAATGAGAAATATACATAAAATAAAATGATAAATAATTGTACTTATAACTAATAAATCTAAGCATTATGCGTGTTGTATTTTTATTTATTTTTATAGAAGATAATGTACCCCATTAAATATGTTTGTGAGAGTTGGAGACACGAGTTGACAATTTGTAGGTAATATAATGTGTCTTAAATATGAGCTATATACAAAGTTATTTGAAGTAAAATAATTTTAAAAAAATTTAGACATATTTAAAATATTAAATATGTTTGAAATCACGATTGAGCCTCTGATTTTGAAATAATCAAATTACAAAATTCATATTTATTTCATGTTATAATTTTTACTGCATTATTTTAGTAACAAACATAAAATACATTATATTACAGTATATTAATATGTTCCTCCATATAAGTATATATATATATATAAGTACTAAGTAAGTACTATATTATATATATTTAATATAATATATAATATGTTACCAATAACCAATATTTCATATAAATATTTATTTTATGAAATCATCACGATGACGTGTTGAAAAGCCAGTAATAACCTGTAACGGGTCTCTTTTTCATTTTCCTTACTAAATATAATACTAAAATTACTAAAATTTAAAATGTATATTTCCAATAATTATTTTATTTATGCGTTCATCTTTATATTTTTTAAATCGGACCTTTGGAACTACTTAAATTGTTATCAGGTTTATAGCTATTTCAAGTCGATGAATTGGCTTTGAATACTGTGATATAATGACTAAATGAAATGTTGATAAGGATTCGTAATATGTATGATGTGTGTGATTGGTGAGGAGTATTATTTGCTACACACACAAAGACGAGCAGTGAACGCAAGAAACGAAAGAATTGCCTAAACACAACTCCTTGAAAATGTCACGTTCGGAGGGCGCTATAACTAGTTTTTCCATTCCATTAGCTTGTTTAACGTTTAACCAAATTCTTATTCAAAATTAGATGCACACGATGCAGCTTCTTATCGACATTTTGAAAATGTGTTATGTAACGTTAGTATTTACTATAGCCACTATGGACACGGTATTAAATAATAATATTTAATAGGCACTGAAAGAATCATTACTGCAATGTCTCAACAATAACGATTTAAGTACTATGCGTAGCATAATATGTTCATCAGTTTTTGATTATAATTAAAAATATTGATTATCCACAGTTCCCACTCTCATGAAGGATCTCCATGGTTATTTGTTTGCAGTCGAGCTTCGTTTCATTAGAGCCCAACCGTGTGTAGCCGTGTTGGGACAGTACAAGTTCAAGTTTCAGTATAGCCCCTCTCGTCAACATCGGTACATCAATCTGTTCTAGTATCTTCATGACAGATACAGATATAGAAACATTGTTATGATGAACAGATCGTTAGTTTTCTGTGTTTGAAAAGCTTATGTGAATAATAAGTATAACCCAAATTTTTATATGGATCAAAATATACGAGTAGTCTAGGAATTCCAATTCTAAGTCTCACTGATTAATTGGTATCTGCAACAGGTATTTTGTAGTAATAAAACGTTACTACTTCCCCTTTATGAGAAAATATTTATATTTAGTATAAATAAGTAAAAATAAATTTCAAAATACTCTGTTGAATTAATTTGTTACCTATTATACATTCAAGGAGTGAGGACTGGACAATTTATTGATTTTACAAATTTACAATATTGTACATTTTTTTTAAGTCTGTCATTATGCCGTTTTGGAGCAGACAGTATTGGTTATAACTTATAAGTTATAACATATAAGTAACTGTTTTGACCGAATTACTATATTATATATAAATTTATAACAAAGGTACAATATTATTATGGTAATACAATTTGGAAAAAAAGTTTTAGTAGAGTAGATATTTAAATTTTTAACATTGAAATAAACAGTGATACATATATAATAAGTTCAAGTGGTTACCTTTTTCTGGTTCTTGAAAATCTTGTAATACAAAATTAATTTCTACCTAAACCATTGATTATAAATACTAATTATATCAACGTTACTACATAAAATTAAACTAATATCACGCCTAAGTGAAATTGTATGTTATATTATTTTATATTTATTTAAAATTGTAAAACTTATTGTATACGTATAAACGTTAAGCAAAAGTAGGCTAATAATGTTCAATGTGGAAAACCTTCACAAATATTAAAAAAAAACTATATATTTAAGTACCTATAGGCACCAATTCTATATAAATAATACTGGTATTAAAGCGGTAATAACTTGTATAGTATATATAGATGCCTACTACCAATTCGAAACAAAATATCAACCTTATAAAATTAAATAGCTCTATGCAATAATTAAGTATAATTTAATTTAGGTACTTAAAACAAAATTTTAGTCGATAATATTGTAAGCTTCATTTTTTACCGGTGTTTCAAAAAATGTGATTCTCTTTCTCATCAAATAGGAGAAAGCATGGTCACAAATAATTATATATTTAAAAAAAATGTATCGTAAGCCGTATATTTATTTAGATTAACAAGACGTTGATTTTGTGCATCCTAAAATAATTATGGATAATACCATTGATAATCAATGATAATACTTAATGAGGAGAGAATTTAGAGTTATTTTCTTAACGAACGAGTAAAAGCGACTTAATAATATAATACAGCGCTGAGATGTTCGACTAACCAAGGTAAAATAAATGATGAGCGTTAAAAGGCACAATAATGAGATCACCGGATGTACCCAATACTGCAATAGTAATTGTGACATATATAAGTGGTGGATATAGCGGTAAGTTAGGAACTATTATATTTTGTTTGCAAAAAAAATATATATTCTATTCTATTATTGAAGGTGCCTATAATATATTAAAATATAAGTCTCTTGTCTGGCACGCGTAACCACTCTAATAATACCTGAATACCATACTGTGATCTGTAAATAAGAATAACATACACATTTTATGATTTTTTGATTAAACCCACCTACACTCTACAGGCTACACTATAATTTTAAAAAATAAACCATAATTGCAGATAATATTTTGAAAATTTTTGTTGATTAGGTATTCAATAAATAATGTTCATAAGCAATATTCTCTTGAGTATATTATATACTAAGAATGTTATAAGGCAGCAATAGTCATTCGATAATCATTAGAAAGGCCAAGTGATATTATTTACTGAAATAGATTATAAGAGAATATTAGAAAGGAGTAGTAACTTTATTAAGATGGAATAATTTGAAAGGACTTAGAGTATTGTAAAAGTACAAAACTATACATCTCCGGAAGTCCGAACAATCTTTACAATAAACACAAGATTACATAACTATTAGATAATATGTAAGCAATTCAATAATATTCAACAATATTGCTGAAATAAATAAAATTGCGATTTTAATAAAAGTTAACTGTTTGAATAAGATTAGATACCTACTTTCTAATCTTGTAAAAAAAAGTTGAATACATTTTACTGGACTAATTTTCTTACGGGAATAGAATGGAATAAAATGGAATAATATTATAATAGAATTCGTACTCCATTCAATTATTATGACCTATGTGTAATAATAGGTGCAGGTCAGTGAACGCATTTAAGGTGGTGCATTATTAATTGGTTACATACTAGTTACATCCCAAACAGTTACCGTAAGATTTAGCGCGATTTATTACCTTTTTCGCCGTACGATTGAGCACACTTGAAGTAAAACAATAAAATAAGACCACAGATAACCCCCCCCCCCCCCCAAAAAAAAACAGTACTATTGAGCACGATATTTTATGCAATATTACCATGGAGGTGTTCTGTTGTATTACCTACATGTTCAAATTTAAAAGTTCATGTAAAATATCTTATATTGGTTCTTAATTTTATTAATTGGCAAAAGTCATTATTTTGGTATTATTTTATTATTACTAATATGTGTAAAAAAAAAACGTAAAAATGAACTGATTTTAGACATATCTAATACACTGTTGAAAAATACATTTGACCTGATTGATGTGGTGGTTAGGTTGGAAAATTTATCGCATATACAAATAACATTTTTTTAAATAAACTGCAGTGAAAAAAATTTAAAAGTGTTATGATGCATAATCAAAAGTACCATCAGCTAAAAATGTTATGCAATTTACTATAAAATATGAATTTTCTTAAAAATCTCTTCTAATGTAAACTAAATGCTCTTCGTCTTGTAGGTACATAAATAAAATGTTCACTTCTATATTAAAAATCATTACAATTTTTCCGTAACTGCTTAAATCAGTGAAACAACTATAGTGCTAAAATTTTATGGAGGCTGTAGCCGCCGCTAGATATTAAATGAAAAATAACCAGTGTTGGATTCGGCCCCACACCACCAAAAATATTCACTTAAAAATATAAAACAAACTATACAAAAAAGGTGGACAAGTGGTACCACAATGCTTTACAGTACCTAGTTATAGGTTCGGAGCATATTTCATTGTGATGGGTGTGTTAGATTTGGATTCGATGATAAATCAATACATATGAAAAACGATTCTGAGTGGAGACTGTGTGTCATCCTACTTGCCAAACGGTCATAAAAAAATTAATGATACTGTCCGGTGAAATTGTTTTTTTAATAAAGGAGAAAAACGTCTTGGAAATCTTCTAATAAAATGATTTGATTAATGTATATTATTAAATTTTATACACAAAATGACATATTTTCGGCAAAAATTAATTTAACCTACCATATTGATAATTGTAAAATAAATTACTTTAATAGCAATAGCATAAAACATAATTAGTATTATAAGCTGACCGGTGACTGACCGTCTTCCCTCAGAATCGTTTTTTTAATACAAAGATTTATTTTAACACATACCTTAGGTCTTGGGCGAAACCGTTTTCAACCAAAAACGTCCCTTCACTTTTCGATCAAATTTAAAAAAGGTAGTTTCAAAAAGTAGGGCTACTAAATATAAAGACCGATCATGTTTTAGATTGTTTTCTTCAAAACTTAATGGCTGATCGTCCAAGAGCATATGACAAAAATCAGACGGTGACAATTTTTTATAAAATATTATTCACATTGTGACATATAAACATAAAAATAACGTTAATAAACATGAGTTCTTATATTATAAATAACTTTCTACATTTTATTTTATAACATTTTATGCAACTTATACTTTTGATAAATTTTTATTTATATTTAATTTTCATAAATCGTATATTATTATTTAATTGCTTGTATAATATAATACATACTACCTATGACATTAACATAAAAATAATATAGGTATTCTTATATTTTTAGGCTTATAATTTTAACGGTGTGAAAACATTTTTTAGCGTTTACATTTTAAGAAGGGGATACGATTTAAAAATATTTCAAACACAAGCAATATTTAATTAGGTAATTTTAAAACACTCCAGCAGACAGTTTTATTCTGTCATTCAAACAGATAAATATTAGACACTGCTGTGAACAGTATAATATTATGTATTAATGCATTATGTAATATGTACAAAGGACAGAACCATTGTAGTGGATATAGTGATATATAGTATATAACAAATTTATTCTTAGAATTATTTTTTATTCAAGACGCAATTATATCATGACGTGCTGATTTCAAAATAATTTAAATTAAAAACTTCATTTTAACTAGGTACAAATACAAATACGTAATATAGCGTTTTGACGTTATTTGTAACTTATTTTTATTAATATTTTGCTTGAATGAAAAACTATTATTTTCAGTTTAAATAAAATTCGTCAATTCGTGTGTTTTCATTTTTTTATACATTAATATTGTTGTATAATACTAATTTAAATTTATCTTTTTTTTAAAAATATCATAGGTACATAATATGCTATCATAAAACCAATAACTGAATATAACTATTATCATTACCTACCTGCATCGAATTCTTCGTTCCACTCATTATGCACAATGGATGCCTATCTATTTGATTGTAATCGTATGAAAATGAATTACGAACAATAGCTGTAGTAAATATTATGATGACTAGGTACAAAAAAAGTTAATACATTTTAAATGTCAGCTCTTATATCTTGAAAATTATGTTATTTATATATCATAGATAAATATGTAATGTTACTTCTGTACAAATATTGAATATGTGGCTTGGTGAGACTCGGTCGTACGCTTAATTTGCTGCAGCGCTCTGAGCTTACATACTGGCCGTCGTTGCTAGCACTCGGATGGGTGACCAGTGACCACCCGGGTTTTTAGTACTTAACACATACTTGTCACTCATACAAACGTGTACCAACCAACTGCTCCCCCCATACAGTACCAGGCTAATGACCTTAGTAATTGAAGCCTTAATCTAAATTGAAAAAAGAAAGAAAAAAAATATTGAATAATGTTATTAACATGTGATATTTAAAAATTCTGTGCTATTCAATCTAGATTTTTCTGTTAGTGTTTCTAGTTTCTACAGAAATTAAATTAAAGTTTTAAATTTTTTTGACGTAGAAAAAGAACTCTTTATCAGCCGCTACAGTAGTTCCAGGAAGTGTAGCTATTACATGGAGAAGTTTAAAAATAGAATGTATAGGACAAATGAGTGGGTTACATCATGTCACTTACATGTTATGAGAGCTTCAAATGCATGTCAGTTTTACTGCTCCAACAAACATTTACATACATTTTAATACTTCTCCGATTACCGATTGACCTAAGACTACATCGAAGATCTTCGCTCTCCTCAAAAAGTCAAAACGTTTTATGTTTCTTCTTGGTTAACAATTATCTGTTATTATTAATTATTGTTTGGTAAGAGACAACAAAAATTGGCAATTATAAAGATTTATGTGCAATGAACCTGTCATAAATCTGTCAAATAAATTTACCTAAAAATGTAGTTTTCGTCGGATTCATGCAGTAAAGTTTTGTTAATTTATATCCGAAGACCAAGTAAGAAATTTAATGATTACTTAATTCTTATTAGATCCCCCCCCCACCTCCTAACAAATGCATGGTATACCACTGGGGTATGTTATATTTTTCACAAAATATTATAATATTTTATGTGCACATGCACAATTTATTAGAGTTGACATTTTGTGAGTTTACCCAACCTATACCCCGTTGTCGACTGTTATTATTTACCTAGGTATATATCATTTTTGGAGGAAAATGGTACCTGCACTTCTGCAGCCTTTATAGAAGACTCACTCACCCTCATGCAGTATTATATGTAGCACTTGAATATCGTTAAAGTTATTTAAATCCGTCGAAATAACCTAACAAAACTACCTAGGTACTAAAACTATAGAAACCTGGTAACTTTTGGAATAAAAGTGAGTCCAAACTCCAGAGTAGCCATTAGTTAAAAGTTATAATTTATAAGTACTGACAAGAAATTTAAACGCTCCTGTCATCAAGTTATTGATTAAGTTATTGACAAGTTTAGTTAAGACTTTATGAACTCATGCAATGTACACATGTTACATGCCTAAATGTACCTCAGGGTTAAAAGTGGGAAAAATTCGAGAGGGGACTAATGTCTCCATAAAGTTTTAAGTGTTCCATAAATAACTTTATGTATAATGTATAAAAACCCTAATTTGTTAAAGGGGACGCTTTTTAACCACCGTCAGAGGTAGGGGGACTGAGTCCTTCTGCGTCTCCCCCCACTTTCACCCCTGCTTAACCCAACAATTTTTATTGATCTTAAACATTTGAGTTTTATTTTACATAATATAAATATTATAACTATGCCTTTAACTTTTAAGTTTAACCTCGCCCTTAACAACTACCCTTTTTTTATATTTTTATTGCTGAAATCATGGACGTCTACCCGGACTCATCTCCGGAGGGTATCACCTATACTCGAAAAATTAAGACACATCTACATCTTTTACAATACGAACCTGTACAGAATAAATTATGAATATTATTGTTACGTACTGTTGGTATATTCATTGTCGTTGACCCAAATGTATTCATTAGCAGGGCGCCTATTGCAAAACGACCGTTTATTCGGAATTAATTCGCATAATTTTTTTTTTATAAATTAATTTAGTCTACTGAACACGCAGTTTTTTATTCAACTGTCGTGACTTACAAAGATCTGTCGTATTGTATATCCTAGTCGGAGAATACTTAAAACGATTGAGTGGAACGCGGCGGTGGCGACGACGACGACGACGACGACGACGTCGTCTGCCACAACCAGGTGACCATTGTTGTGCATGATTGAGTGAAACCATTATTATTATTATTTCTGCACATTCGCCGTTTGGACCGTTCAGTATTTCAGTCTCTGATTTGACTCCAACGCCGCGTTAACGTCTCTCATGCGAATCAGAATCAACCGATAAACATTACACACTCCGACGTGTTCTCCGCGAGTTATAGTACACACCTATTAGGTATACCTACCTATACACGGATACAACACATATAATATTACGGTTGTCGTTTTGTGGATCTGTCACGAACTTTCAGTAAGTCTTATACACATATTAATTAATATTACAGACTATAATCAATAAACTCGTATAAAATTTGTATGATATTTTGGTACCCAAATAAGAGGTTTAAATAGAGATGGTTACAAATGATGCACATGTTGCAGCATGATATATGCATTGGTAAAATGTTTTTTTTTTAATTCAAACATTGATTACATTTTTTATAACTTTTTCAAATTTTAATTTCTTAAGCAATAATAAATATTGCATACATTTAGTACTTGTTATAGTTGTTTCTTGAAATTTATAGAGTTTATTCAGAAGGCATTTTTATTAACTCAAATACTTGTCAAGAAATGAAAATATGCAATTCGTCCCAATTACTTGCTTGTTGATAACACGTATAAAACATTTATTGATAAAAATTATATTTTTCTTAATCTTAAGTGCCTAAAGTATATTTTTTTAAACATTGAAATTACACAACTTTATACTCATTTATTATAGTTTGTAATTTAATCTAGTAGGTATAGTAACATAATAAATAGAAGTAGAATATTTACCCAGATAATTTAGGTATATGTATATAGTATATATATTGGGTATATGTTACATCAAATTAGTTTTCATTTGTGTGTTTTCATAGTTTTTATAGAAACATGTACCAATATTTGTTTAAACACTATAATTTTATTTACTGGAAAATAATTTTCCTTACAAAGATAAAATTTATATGTATATGTATACGTGTACAAGCTACTCGTAGATGTATAAAGTACCTACTATTTGTACACATTTAACAAACGTTTAAAATAACACACCGATTCGCTCCAGTAAGTATTACCGCAATAGAATTTGATATTACGGCAATAATTATTGACAGTAACTTGACTATAGGTACCTATATTATACTACTAAATACAATAACCATAACCTACATTAAACACACCTTAATTTATTTTGATGATGTGTAATTAAAATATATTTGTACAGTTTGTTGTTCTGTACCTAAATTATGTGGTAGTTATTGACTTTAATACCAACAATATTTTTAAATATCAAATGTGTTTATTGTATTTTATTTTCTTAAACAAATGAAAAAAAAACAACACAAATACAAATATAAAGCAATCAATTAAATTATAAAATCGTATTTTTTTAGATGGGTCACGACCAACCTCACTCATACGTTTGGCCTGCAGACTATAACTGGATGAAACCACAGCATCATGCTGAAGTTTCAACAGTAAGTCAAGTAAACTTCCCAGTGTCATCAACAGGTAAAGATTCAAAATCTATACAGTTAATCACTTCCTAGCGTTGTGGCCCTGAACGTAGATAAAACTAATTTTGTTTTAAATAAAGTAAAAGGGAAAAGTGTTTCTCTTGCAGATACCTAACCGGTCAGATAATAAGCAACTATTGGTAATTTTTAACAAATCTACCGTGAAACAACTCTTACAGTTATTATTCATTAAGTATCGTATTATAACACTCAGAGCTAATGGGGAATACAATAGATTCGGTCAAACTTCAAGAGAATATTAAAACACCTAAAAACATAGTAATAATGTCAATATTTTCATGAAATAATAATTAAAAAATATGTCATTTTTTTATGTTTAACATTTTAGTATTTAAAGTTAAACAAACATTGTAATTTTGATTTTAACCGTCTAATATATAATATATAATATAGCTAACTAGCTTTTTATATTTTATTTTGTCCGTCAATAATAGGTTAACCACGAATGTATAGTTATCAATTTCATTATTATTATAATATTATTATACTTGAATTTAAAAAATATATATATAATATTCTAGAAGTTCTGGTGCCATGGTTATTATCTATGTGGATGATGGGAAATAAAACTCCTACGGATTACCCTAAACGTAAAGTTGTGAAAAAACCAAACAAAAAAAGTCGAAACGAAAACACGGGATTTAAAGATCGTTTTACGTGGGGGCAAATAGATCTGGAATATCCCAGTCAAGATTCTAAACAAATGGCCATCAATACCGGTGCATTTATTCCGGTTAACAATCTACTACTGGGGCTGGAAGTGTGGAAGAACAAGATGTTTTTAAGCCTGCCACAATGGAGGCCGGGAATACCAGTAACGTTGGCGTACGTGAATTTGAACAGTCGCACCAAGTCCCCGATGCTGAAGCCATATCCCTCGTGGAACTGGTAATTGGTTTTTTATCTTCTGTTCACGGTGGTAATAATTGATGACCACGATTCGGTCGGGTGGTTCAAAATTATAACGAACGACATAAGACCGTAATCGTATCTCATAAATTTCCAGGTACGCTAATAATATGAACCGCTGTCATGGTTTGGTGTCTGTGTTCCGGATGGAAGTGGACAAGTGTGACCGATTGTGGGTGTTGGATACAGGTGCCATAAACTTGGCGAACAGGGTCGATCAAATATGTCCGACCAAGCTAGATGTATTCGACTTGAAAACTGATACACACATTAAGCGTTTTATTATCCCGAAAAATCAAACGCTAAAGGATTCGCTGTTTACGAACATTGTAGTTGAGATTCTCAATGATAATTGCGAAGATGCGTACGCTTACATGTCTGATGTATTTCAATATGGATTGGTTGTTTACAGCTACAAAGAGGTACCTGCAACATACCTATAGATTTATGGATAGAGTCGGGGGGGCTCCGGGGAGGCCCTGTAGTTGCTGCCCCTGTATAGAGTGCACTTGCGCTTATTTAAAAATTAATTATTTTTAAAACTGTCTTATGTACGCCCGCCGTGTAACTTGCGCAATAAAACTACATATCAGTTGCATATGTATAAGCTTCAACAACAACGAAATGAATAAAATCGTTAAAATAATACCCACTATTATTTCTATACTGCAGGACGTCTCTCGCCGGATCAACCATCCCTATTTCTATCCAGACCCGCTGTACTGCCATTACAGCATGGACGGCATAACGTTCAACTGGATGGACGGCATTTTCGGCATGTGCCTGTCTCCGGACAGCGGTGCCGGGCGACGGGTGCTCTACTTCCATTCGCTGTCCAGCAACAACGAGTTCTACGTGCCCACCGCATCGCTGCGCAACGGTACGCTCCGCGAGGGTGACATCATCGAGCATTTCTTTGCGCTCAACGATTCGCGGTGCGGACGCCATCAGTCGTGTCAGTCGTCGGGCATGGCGGTGGACGCGAAGGGCGTCATGTACTACAACCTGGTGACCGCGGGCAAAGTGGGTTGCTGGGACACCGGACGTCCGTTTGAGTCGGTCACGCAGGGTCTGTTGTCCAGCGGCCCGACGCCGCTCAGCTTCCCCAACGACCTTAAGGTGGATAAAGAGTCCGCGCAAAGGGTGTGGATGCTCAGCAACGGGCTGCACAAGTATCTGTACGGCAAAACGGACCCAAACCAGATAAACTACCGAATAATGGTGGCGTACACGGACGATGTCGTCAAAGGTACGGTCTGTGAATCAACTGACCACTCTACAATAATATAATTATATAAATTTGGACTAGAAAAACGGTTAAACCAAAACCGAAACAGGAAAAAAAACGAACACCAACTACCTAAATAGTAGGTACTTAAAACCAACATTTTAATTGAAAAAAAAATTTAATTCAAACCTAAAACTAAAGTGATTATGTTAAAAATATAAATGGGAAAAAATAAAAAATACCTCTACGATTCTCGTATTTGGAAATATATTATATATTAAATATAGGTAACATTTATGGTGTTTATATCCATCTAATTTTAATTATAAAATTATAAAATACTCTTTTACACGAACACCGTTAATAAACCGAAATAAATGAAAACCAGTAATCAAATCATTTTTAAAAAATAAAATGAAAACCTTGAAAAAAATCTAAATTAAATTCAGTTGTTGCCAAATTTAGGACGACAAGACATATCTATTATAATTGCTCAATATTATTATATATTTGATACTTACGTATAAATATTAAATATGCATATTATTATTATTATTAGGTATATTATGTACAATATGTATATAATTACACGCAAGTACATTTAAACGATATTGAAAAGTATCGACAGTATATTTTAATAATTTACAACTTTATACGAGTGCCAAATAGTTTTTCTGAGTAAGTATGGGTTTCAAATATTGCAGCGATCAAATTCACCCAGTAAGCAAACATACGGGTTACATGTATAATTAAAGTAGCCAATAGGAGGTACCTAATATTCTGCCTAGTCAACATTAAAACGTGTTAAATTTTATTTGTGACAACTGATGATTGTTGTAATTTTGTGATAAAAATATCGCTTTTTATACTATAGTAATTGATTATCAGTAATCTAATGGCTATAATAGGAATATTGAATAACAATCTTCGAATTATGTAAAATATGTATAAAAGGTTTTGATAAACGAATAAATAAATTTATTCCACAATTTTAAACTTCTAAATTCTTATAGTTTCATGTGTCTTAATTTCTTATGTTAAAATAATTTAGAAATTATAATACATGTATAAACGATTATTAAATGAATACTATAGAGAACCTTATATGTATTAAAATGGAAGTGAATGGTGTTGTTGTGACGATCTTCAGAAAACTTATACGACGGCAACGATCCAACTTCTGCCACGTGAGAGGCTCAATATTGTTACTTCATAATATATATTCAAATCTCTGCAATCTAAAATTGCTTTTATTCACTCTTTGACTTAAAAAATTGCATGTGTATTCAATTATATTTAATTTGGATGTGACTATATGAGTGTAACTGCCGTTTATTATCTTTAACACATTTTGATTTTTGTGTAATTGACCTTTTATTATATAAGTTATAACATTATTTCATGTATTTTAGTGTAAAATTGGTACCAATGTATTTAAATTATTACTATAGGTAATTTTATATTTATGTATATATAATATATAGATGTATATGAAAAATAAAAACATATGACTTAAAAAGTTTAATTTGTATGAATAAAATAAAATAATTTATTCATGATTTGTGCATAATTTATAAGGTTCCCCTTTTTAAGTAGCATAGATTCCCAATAAATAAAGGTATTATACCGATCGTACTATGTATAGTTCATCGTAATTGTTGTTGGTAAAGAAATTAAGAATACGTATTTTATATATTAAGTAGGTAAGAATAATTCCTAATTAGTAATTTCTTCAATAATTAATACTATCGAATAAATTATGATCACTCAGATCCAGGAATTTTCAATTGGAGGGAGGGGGTGTTATAAGTAATATTATATTTAAATAAATTTGTATGTTAATACTAAAGACACGAATAAAGGGCTTTATTATTATTACTCAGAAATACATTTATTTTAAGTACTATTAGTAATGCAATAGGTTGAATACATTTTTCAGATAACATTGCACCTAAAAATATCATTGTGTGTATAAAATATAATGTTATACTCATTAGGTAAGTATATGAGTTCCTACTTTAAAAGTTTGAAGATACCTATACGAATACGTTTTTTATCGATTTCTATTGCGATTATTGATCGCCGATCATCAACATTTTATGTCAATTCATTTTATACAGTCGTCTCGTGTGCCCGTACTTGTGTGTTACGTTGTATTTTCGCCTTTTGGTTTAACTTGTAGTAACCTTGTTTTAAAATGCCAAAAGTTTTTTTTTTTTTTGTGTAAACTCAATAATGTTGTATCCAAATTCGGCGAAGAAGTCTAAGGTAGACGACAATGTATTATTTTGTCAATTATGTGAGTGTAAAGTGAACAGTGAAAAAAATTTAACATAACTCAGCACTTAAAACAGATAAACATATTAAAGCAACGAAGAGCCATCAAAATAAAATTGAAAAAAAAAAATAAAAGTTTCTTACGAGTTACCAAAAAAACTCTTTTAATGTTGATTTATGTAAAGCATTTATAGCGGCAAACATTCCTTTAAATAAATTATCTAATCCAATATTTCGACAATTTCTTGAAACTTACATGAAAAATCCGATTCCAGATCAAACCACGTTAAGAAAATTGAAACGAGACTATGGAAAACATTACAGTACCTATACAAGATGTTCGTCATATTACTGGACTACTCGATCAAGATGATGCGATTAGTATCCAAAAATCAAAAAAATGTTTAGACAAAATTATTGATTATGGCGAACCCTTTTCGGGTCAAGTGCCAAAATTTTTAAATAAAATGTTTAAAATATAATTGCGTACCCCTCCCCTAAAAAAGGCATTTTTACTGAGAATATAAAAGAAGGTGAGCAATAATTACTGCAGTACACATATTATTACAAGTTTATTTTATGAAACACAGACTAAATGTTATGAAATATGTCAAGAAAAATAGTTTAATTAGTTTTGTTGTGCCATTGATATTTGGCCAAAGTGCTAATTCTGGCACGCTTGCCATAGGTTAGCTACCCCTGACCTAGTTATTCGTTTTTGAGTTAGATACACCCAAAAACAAAATCAATTTTGTCAAAAACTGGTTGAGAGTGAATATTTTCGTTTTTTTAAATTCTTTTTTTGTTTTTCCCTTTGCTTTTGAAAACTCCTTCGAATTGTTGGTACTTTCGGGTTACCTCGACTTCCCAAATATTTTCAATATTTTCAGAAGTCGAAATAACTAGGAAGTATCGAATTGTCTACTTTTGACTCTAAGTACCAACTAGATTCACTTTTCTATACCAGAAAGCATGTTGAAATAGAAAACTAAAGCATTATTTCGACTAGCCATCGTGTACCTACAGATACAAAAAAAAAAAACACAGGTAATTGTTAATACTTAATTCAATACATACATCGATCCGCTAGGGACCCAAAATCTAAAAACCCTACATAAAATATTGAAAATGCAATTTTTTCACATTATTTTTTCAATTTTTAGTCCTTTTAAACCCTTAGTTATGAGTTGTGATTATTCTAGTATCTACGAGGTTTATTGTTCTGGTGATCTGCAGAAGTACATGACGATACTATAATAGTGAAAGGAGCAATGTGGGAGCTGGTGCGCAGGTGCTAGGTACTCGCATGTATGTACCTACTAGAGTACTATAGAGTATAGAGCAGCGGTTCTCAAACTTTTTTTTTCGCGCTACCACTTAAGTAGGTATAATGTCAATCAGTCGCGTACCACTGATGATTAAAAATAGAAAGACACAAACTTTATATAGTTAAATACATTTATTTTAAATAAAAATGCAGTAAAATACTGCAATATAATTATTATTTATTGATACAAATTTATTAGTGTTTAAAAATTAAAGTATGAATTAAACAAATTTCCAATGAAAACCATGAATTTGTAGATTTGATATTAGCGATGAAATATCTGGCTCGGTGTTACTTAAGGCCTTCCGTGTACCAACATGTACCACAGTTTGAGAACCACTGCTATAAAGTACGACTTGACCTACTCAATTCTCATATTAGCTTATTTTCGGTAGTTATATAAGATGTAACTATTTACAGTTTTAAGTCTTAACCATCGTTTGGTGACAGAAGTCGGTAGTTTTTAAGTATTTTGAAAAACCCCTAACGAAATATTATCGTTCAAGATCGGAGAAAACAAATAATATTAGTAAGCACTTAATGGCTAATACAGTCATACGATATTACGATATGACGCCATAAATCAGTACTCAATATATTATATTATAATATATATTTATTCTGCGACTCAGTCGTAGCCATAGACCTTATACTTGAGTATAAGCAAGTCTATGGTTGTAACTTGTAGCATAGAACAGTAAATTGTAGTTGTAGTCGCGTATGGCTGATAGTGTAATGATGTGTCTTAGTGACGACTGACGTAGTGTCTTGGTGACGTGTGGTACCTGAAGATTCAGTGACGTAACACAAAGTGACCATGCGTGGTTCAACAATCAACAGCTGTTCGCTCATAGATAATACATAAATACATCATAATAGTATGTGTTGGCCAGTGGTTTTATCACTCCATCAGTTTTTATTTTTATTTTAATCACTCGACTTTGGAACTCGATTAATAAATAACATTGCACATTTCTCTTCTGTTCTATACTTGACCACTTGTGTCAGTGTGTCACTATGCCAAAACAATAATAATTTAAGTCGTAACTCATTGTCGTCATTGAAATTTGCAACTCATACTCGCAGTCATTGCTTGTCCCCTAGTTGTGCTTGAACATCGAACGAGTGAATTCTCAAATATTGTCGTCAATTTTAATCGATTACATAACACAAGATGGCTTTGGCAAAAGGTAAACTGTGCACATTTATAAAGTAACTCAATTGTTACGAATGAATTATAATTTAAATTTAAAAAAAAAAATTGTTGTTCATTGTAAATATCAGGTGTTTTTATTGTCGCTGCTAAGAGAACTCCTTTTGGTTCATACGGCGGAAAGTTTGTGAAAACTTCATCTACTGAACTGCAAATAGTAGCTGCAAAAGCTGCACTCGCTGCTGGTAATGTTGACCCAAAAATTGTCGATTCAGTTATAATTGGAAATGTTTTAATGGTAAGTTCTTACACATAATTATATAGGTGCATGTGTGTACATTCTTTTATTGAAAATTATATTAAATTAAATACATTATTCCAAAAATAAATGTATATTTATTATTTTGCATAATATGTAGAACTCATCTTCGGATGGTGCATTTTTACCCAGACATGTACTACTCCATTGTGGAATCCCACAAGATCGTCATGCATTGGGTGTCAACAGATTATGTGGATCTGGATTCCAGTCCATTGTCAATGGAGCACAGGTACCTACTTCAAATTAAACTTATTGAAGATAATATGTTACTTGCTGTTTATAATTTATCTCATATTATTTATTAAAAATTAAAATTAACAAAAATATTTTTATTTCGCTTAACAGTTTATACCTATAGTTTAGATAGTACTATTTTGTATTTTATTAGAGTATCATGAGTGGTGAGTCTAATGTTGTATTGACCGGAGGAGTAGACAGCATGAGTCAGTCCCCACATGTTGTTCGTAATGCCCGTTTTGGTATCCCGCTCGGAGCATCTTATGTCTTTGAAGACAGTCTATGGACTGGATTAACTGATACATATTGCCAATTACCAATGGCCTTAACAGCAGAGAAATTAGCTGAAGTGTACAAAATCACAAGAGAAGGAGTAGACGAATTTGCTTTGCGTTCACAAACTCTGTGGAAAAAAGGTAATAACAACTTTATAGCATTATTTAAATTCAAAATGTGTGCAAAATGTACAAATAAGTTTTTGATTAATTTGTAGCACAGGATAACAATGTATTCAATGCTGAATTAGCTCCAGTGACCATAAAAGTGAAAAGAGCAGATGTAGTTGTTGATGTTGATGAACACCCAAAGCCAAAGACTACTCTTGAAACATTAGGAAAATTACCTACAGTTTTTAAAAAGAATGGAGTTGTTACTGCTGGTTCAGCATCTGTAAGATCATTTTTAGTGTATTCATCTTCCTTGTTATGTTATTTCTTCTTAAAGGTTACTAATATTTTAATTTTTTTATAATTTATTTAATAACTAGGGTATATGTGATGGAGCAGGGGCTGTTATATTAGCTAGTGAGGAAGCATTGAAAAAACATTCACTGACTCCATTGGCAAGATTAGTTGGTTACTCAGTAGTAGGTGTTGATCCAAGCATTATGGGTATTGGTCCAGCTCCATCAATTTCGAAATTATTAAGCATTACTGGAAAAACCCTTAATGATATTGACTTAGTTGAGGTAATTTAAATTATTATTTCAAAAAGTTTTCTACAAATTTAAAATTGAATATTGCATTTGTGAACATTTGAATTTTTAAGATTAATGAAGCATTTGGAGCTCAAACTCTTGCTTGCCAAAAAGAATTGAAACTTGACATTGAAAAACTTAATGTTAATGGTGGTGCTATTGCACTTGGACATCCATTGGCAGCGTCAGGTGCCAGAATTACTAGTCATCTTGTCCATGAACTAATGTAAGTTACTTTTTCAACACACTCCCATTGGAACTTAACAACTAGGAAGTAGGAAGTGTATATTTAACTTGATCTAATATATAATATATATATTACATCACTTTTTAATGCTAGGCATATGTGTTACAATAAGGCTTGTTAGACTGATAAAAATCATGAACTAAATAAATATTATAATGATCATTGCACTTTGATATTGTAACTAATTAAATTAATTTCAAATCCATTTTCCCTTTATTTTATACTAGCTTACATTTTTAATTCATTCAATACAATTTTATTTTATTTATTTTATGGCTGTCTTGATGTTTGATTTAATATTTTTTTTTTAACTTTAAAACATTATTTCTATTTAATTATCTAAATAATAAACTAAATTGCTTTAAATATTATATTATATAATATACTTTTTTTTTACTGTAATCTCGAAGTGTCTAACCAATATTATAGGTAATTGAAAACTCGGTACTATCATAATGAACCCATTTTTTGTCCTTTTTTAAATCTTACAACCATTCTCTTCAATATTCAAATTATATTCTCCATTATAGATATTACATTGTTTTTAGTGTTTTACTTACCGTTAGTCATGTAAATGATTACAAATTTGAGCTTTTTTTCCAAGTCTATGGTGTAGAATGTAGATGACGAATGTCATGTAAATTAATAATGCAAATCATATCCAATATGAAATGTACAATAAATTTTCTCCATCTAGCCAAAAAATATTTTATTCCCCATGCCATTAATTAATGTTATTACTACTATAGTAATGTTATAATATACTTAAATATACCTTTTTGATATTTTGTACATGATTTATATTTTTCAAATTGACATTTTAAATTTAAATTCAATATTTTAATTTGCCAAAAGACAAAACTTATTGTAAAACAATTTAAAAAAAAAAATGTTTTGGTCAAGAAAATTGTGTGTAGGTATGATAAATATAATTTAATTTTTAATGCATTCAATGTAATACTTGACAGTTGATTTTTGTACTAATAACTAACTGTGTGATAAGCTTATATTATATAATACATACAAATTATATACTTGTTATTTTTGTTTCAGTCGTAAAAATCTTAAGTATGGAATTGGTTCTGCTTGTATTGGAGGAGGTCAAGGTATAGCTGTCTTGGTTGAGAAAGTTTAACAAATGCATTATCATTTTAAAAAGACTGGTTTTGGGATTGTTTTATAGGAAATTCTTTCTTTGATGAAAAAAAAACATCTATTATATTATTATACTCAACTGTTATTTATTTTTTTTATAAATTATAATATATACTTATCAACAAATGTGCCCATATATTTTATATTAAATTATAAGTATTTTGAAATCCATAATATATATTTATTTGATTATTTCTGAAGTGTTAACCTATTTTTATTTACCATGTAAAAGGTTTTGCATAATATACAGACCACCAGAAAATGTTTATTTTGTAGCTGTATGGCAGTGATGCTGGTGTATAAAGTTGCAGCTATGCATAACAATATCAGCTGTCTACTGGCAGGGAATTATCTGACTGAACCAGACAAAAATTATTCACAGATAAATGGGCTGCATTATTGAATGGAAATTATATTGTTTCACGACATAATGAAGGTTACCTACTAATATATTTTCTCATGTTTCAGACTAGATTTGTTATTTTTAATTGACCTTTAAAATCTATTAATTGTTTTCTTGATTCATATGTATTTTGGAAATAGTTTGATCTTACAGTCGAGGTGTAATTATTAGAAAACCTTGACAACTAAATAAGTTTTTTTCTTGCCCTCTGAAGTATTGATGTAATATTTATTTTATTATATTTCCTCTCCTCAATGAAAATTCTTGTCTACGCCACAGTATTTAAGTAGCATAAAATTGTATAAGTACCTATATCTATACCAGACATGAATACCAAATATCCTTATTTTCATAATATTATATTAAGAGGACGTGATATCTGCATGTGTTGTCTCTGCCTTACAATTGAGTAAAATAGCAAATTTTACGCCTAGCAGAACACGTGTAGCTCTGTTAGTTTAAATTTAGTGCGAATTGACCTCTTATAAAATCTAAAGGTAAGATTATTATCTAGGCAACCTCATAGGTTTTTTATTATTTTTTAATTTTAAGGCGAGTTATGAGTATTTTAAAATTGTAAATTTTTTATACATCTTAAAATACTTATAACTCGCGTTAAAATAAAATTATAATAAAAAGCCTATGAGGTTGCCTAGATAATAATCTTAGCATTAGATTTTATAAGAGGTCAATTCATTTTAATTTTTAAATTAACGGAGCTACACGTGTTCTGCTGAGTGTACAATTTGCTATGTTACGCACTTGTAAGACGGAGACAACACATGCGGGTATCACATCCTCTTAAGTGATATGTGAAATATTTTTTAGAGTGAGTAAAAAAAAAGAAAATTACTTAGTGATTTTATTTCAGTGATTCAATAAGATAGGTATTAATGTCACTACAGTCAACTAAAATGATGTATTTTGCCAAAATGACAATAGCATTTAAGGAAGTATTTTAAAGAATTTGTTATAATTACAAAATTGCAATATATTATGTATCCAGCTTTATTTTTATTTCTAACAGACTTTATAATAAAACATGAATAACTTTTGTTACTATTTTAATTTTCATTGATTAATACAATAATCAGAATATTCTATTCAGTATTTATAAAACTAATCAACTAATGTCACACAAGTACCAAATATTATAAATGATTATTGATAAGGGGTTGCCCTTCAAGTTATTAAATTTTAATAGGTTAGGTTAGTTTAAATTTAGGTATTCAGTTTCATTATTTTTTCCAGGTTGAAATAAAACACAATATATTATAAATTTAATTAAAATATTATATTAATGATATTTTCATAACTTAAACACTAATATTACAATATAATAAATGTTTTATCTCATGGTTTTTATTTGAAGTAGGTAGTAAAAAAATAATTAAAACAAAAATTATTTGAAGATTAAATATAAATTCAGTTAGTAGGAATCAAAATGAAAAATATATTTTATTGAAATTTTGTTTTATGCAGTGATTAATAAAATGTTAACATACTAAACATAATTGTTTGCTGAAGGTTGATCGCGCTCTTCTTCTGGTATTTCACACCAATTTGGTGATGACTCGTAAGATGACAGCCAATCAAAATCATTTATAATTTTCCAATTATTATTAGTTTCATCAAAATTAGCTATTTCAAATGATTTCTTAAGTAGCAAGCTATTGAGTGTAATAGGAGCAAATCTTAATTGTTTACAGTTTTCGATTATAGCGCTACTAGTAACGTAAATATAAAAATCAGTTGCAAAAGTATCATGAATACGCAATTGTTGAGATGCACACACAAATATTGTATCCTTACAGTTTTCAACAAAAATCGATGTGCTTGCACATGCAAATATTTTACACGTTGACAATGATGTTACACGCACGGTACTAGGTGTACCACAAATAATGACATTACAATTGGTCAATACATCTAAAGCTATATCTTTTGAAAAAGTTTCATCTTCTGTGAGGATTAGATTTTCATTAGAACGATTTTTAAACCCTAAATCTTCTTTATAAACTTTTGATTCATCTATTGGTTCAAATCTGTCTTCGACTTTAGGTTTAACTACTGATTTAGGTGGTCGTTTACCAAAAGTAAATTTCTTCTTGGGCTGTAATTTTTCATGCAATTGTTCATAACACTTTGTAACGTCTTTGATTTCATTAGAACACTTCTTCATATTATAAGCAGGTAAAAATGTTTTGGAATCATTTAAAAATTCTTGAAGCTCATTAATTTTTTGTAAAATATCATGAAAATTATCGGTTTCGATACAGTTGTTTTCAATACTAATTAACATATCATTAATTTCTTTTAATTTTGTTTTAAAAGACAAATCAAATGACGACTTTTGATTAATTGGTTCTTTTGCAGTAGTTGATTCCATGTTTAGCCGACACAACCAAGACAAATAGTAAAAGGACTCTTTAAGTTAAATAAATATGCCAATTATAGATGTAATAATTCATTAATTACAAGATGACGTTTGTTCATGGATCATCTGAGCAGTAGCAACAACATACGACCAAACAAAAATAGTGAACAATAAAAGGCCCTAGTTAAAAAAAAAAAATTTAATTAGTTTCAAGTTTATATTTTACAAAAATTAATAAATTGTTGTAAATAGTGTTTGCATGAATGTGTAATTACTTTATAGTTTATACTTATAAAAAAAACTATAATTTAGATGTTATGTCATATAGTACCAATAGAAAAAAATGAATATAACTAGTAAACTAGATACCTAGCCACCTAGGTATATTTAATAGTTATGACAGCAACCTACGTATATCATATGTACATGACATAATCTAAAGAAAATTACCCAAGAGGATGTTGTACCTGCATGTGCCGTTACTGTCTTACTAACTCATAAATCATAATACACCAAAATATATGTCCAGCAATTCTAATTTTATGTTGGCTTAAATATTAAAGTGAATTGACCTATAAACAAATTTAAATGTATGAACATTATCTGTACTCCCACATTGAATTTTACAATATATGTGTAAGTGAATAATGAGCATTTATAAATATTAGTATTTTACACGCTTAAAATTTATTTAAAAATAAAAATATCTTAAAAAACCAACAAGAGACCACAGAAAATATTCTTACATTTAAGTTTGAGTATAGGTCAATTTACTCTAATATTTAAGTTAACCACACAAAATTGGAATTGCTGGACATACATTTTGATATCTATATTATGTGTAAGTAAGACGGAGTTACAACACGGGTCCGACACCCACTTAATTATTTAAGCTACTTATTTGATCAAAAACATTACATTCCATCTTATTATTTAAATGATTTAGTGTTGGGTAATGAACTTACAATGTTTACAATATTAACTGTTTTCTTAGTTGGCACCATAACTGCTGACACCTGGTTTACAATTGAGAATTTTCTGTTATGAAATCTGTAGTTTAACAAAATACAATTTGTTGGATTATTTTAATGCATCTAGACTAAAAAGCTTTAATGAAATTACAGAATATAATATGTATTTTACCCGATGTAATACACTCGTCACTCATATTGATTTTTACATAAAGTTTTATTTAATATTTTTTTAATATTAATAGCATATTATGATTAACAGAATAGGTACTGATAACATATAACAAGATAAGTATTATTGTAGATAATTTTCATTTAGATTATAGGAACTTACGTACATTCATTATGATTCAGGCTTACCTACCTGTATATAATATAAGCATTTTAAACTGTAAAAAAACAATCAATGAACAAATAACTATTATTTTTAATACATACAAGATACAAATATATAATACTATAAGATATATTAAAATTGCTTACATATTTTTATAACATAGCGTTATTATCAGAACTTATAAATAAACAAAAATATAATTATTAAGTGAGCCTTTTATTTATAAATATTACAATTATATTTTTTTTATAGATACCTATTTTTTTAGTCATGTAGGCACACATGTTACCTAAGTTATATCGGTACTTTAGTGGTACTAAATAGTTTACAGTTGGTTCCTACATCCTATAATAGTCGTGGTGTACCGTTTACCCTAAAATCTAAATAATAATTAGTAATTACGATTTAATTGATGTACTTATTATTTCAATATTATTTAATTTATTGTACAATGTTGATGAGCGATTTGGTCACAGAATAATTGAATTAGAGTCCAAATTCGTGGTCTCTTGTCGTTCTCCATCCCAGCAATACCAGGGAATATCGTAATATAATACTTACTTATATTTAATCACAGTCGTCGTTAATTAAAAACTAACTTCTATGGCTTATTCAGCTAGAATAGCTGGATCATTAACATAATACTATACTGGGCAGCTGCAGCTGCTAATTGAAATTTAATATAATAAGTGTGCGACAGTTATCAAATCAGTAATCAACTACCTAGGTAGGTATTTATTTATATTTTCTTTGTGAACGGAACCCCGAAAACGCTGCACCGAGTAGAATCACAACTGACAAGAATTGAAGAATACCTGCAATATTAGAATGTCTGATTACTCTAAGTTTTACTGTGTTAATAAAGGTTAGATTTTTGTTTAATTTATACAATATCAAAGAAATTTATCCTGTTATATAGATTTGTAATTTATTGGTACGATAATAGCAACTCATTGATGAAGACATGAAGTACCTACGATCTACCTATATCCACTAGATGACTAGGTTGGTAGGTATAATACTAGGTATCTATTTGATTTAATATTATAAAAAATATACCTAGTGAATTATTACTTTCTACTATATTATAAAACAATGTGCTCAAACTGTATGAGTACTTAAAATTAAAATTCATAAATTCCAAAAATATTATAAACTTAACCAAAATAACTAGTCTTAGCCTTATGGCGGCCATCTTTAGGTAATTAAGAATAAGAAATATATTTCATATACTATTATACATATCTTATAAGTTATGAATTTATGATAGATAAAAAAATAGGCACCTTCTCAAAAAATGTTAATATTTTATGAAGTATATATAAAAAAATTGCTATAAATTAGATAAATAAGAAAACTATTTAATAGGTATTGGTATAAATTATAGTTTATTTATTTATATTTTATTTTTTGCCAGATTATTAGATTATTAAAGAGATGTATTTATTATAATAGATGGTTGGGAGATAACTAACTTGAGTAACGGGGTATAACGGTATATAATAAACCAGTACCCTTATTTTTGATAAAATAATACACTATTATTATTGTTTAATCAATATTATTACCTACATATTAGTTATTAGTTTATTACCTATTTAATAAATAATAATAAAATTAGATACCGAACTGAGCAATGAATGTATAGTATTGGTTTTGTAATTATGTGTGCGGTTTTTTTTGTTGTAAATATACACGATTTATAGTAGGAAAAATGCTTTTATTTTTAAATATTTTTTCTGATAAGAAAATAAATTTAGTTAATACTTTTGGGAGGTCAAAATTAGAAACTCTCACTTTTTAAAATAACGGGGAAAAATATTTTTTTAAATTTTTATGCAAAATTATAATTTTCGACAAAATCGAATTTCTTATATTGTTATAATTAAAAAACGATCAACTAAATTTTTTTTCTTTATTGGTTAAACATCAACTACCTACGCAGGTTATTAGCTTTACAAGTGTTGCATTGTTTATGCATCTATTAGAATTATTTAATACCTATACAATTTAAAGTTTTTAAAGTATAAAAATACTCTTTTTGAATTATTTATAGATATTTAAAATGTTCGATTATTTGTTTAGTTTTTTTTTCTATAGACAAAAAACCTTGAAAATATAATACAAGGCTCAGTATAAATTGTTATTACTGGACTTGAACAAAAAAATTTGTACTTAATAAATCGCAATAGTTTTTAATGAGTGTTTGAAGTTAGCATTTATACAAAATCGTGAAAATTTCAAATTATTTTGTTGTTCGATTAACAATTTTAATATTCATAACCCCTAAAATTTGAAGGAACTCCTTATAAATTGTCATAACTGGAATTATAAAAATGTTAAGCGTAATTTATTTTTCGAATATTTTTGTGAGCATTTGAAGCTTATTAAATTTTGACAAAATACTCGTGTAACATAACGATTTTTCATCAAATCATTTTTTTTTCGTTTTAATTGAAAAACGAATAACCGTACAATATTCTTAGATAATTTGAAACTATTGTACGAACAACGTAACATAACATATTATGCAATGAATTTTCAAAAACATTTAGAATAATGTTATACTATCTATGCATATTGCCTATTTATATACATTATAGTTTATAGTAAAATAAATAATTACGTTAGTAATAATATTATTATAGCAATGTATTTATTTTGAGTATTGTTTTTCGTAAGCGGTGATTTATTTTTAGATTCAAAATTAATGCATCTATTATATCACCTTTACAGCTACGGCTGTCGGCCATACTCAGTAGACAATTACCATAAGTACCTGCACTCGACTCCTAGTATTACTATGCTGATGAGTATTTGAATTATTTTCTAGTATAGTTTAGTACCTAGTTCCTAGTTAATATAAGTAACTACTGCAGGCTATCATATTATATAGTTAGTCAATAATCATTAATATTATTATTATAAATTAATGGTATAAATTTTAAGTTAAAATTATTATTAAAACTTCGTGGATCAAAAGAATACAATATTAAAAATCTACAGCAATGTACCTAGCCTTGTCACAAGCCAGCAGCTGCATAGTATACTTAATACTTATATATACCTAAATGACCTTTCTATATCTTATCGTCCATAACACAATTTTCCTCCAAAAATCTTAATTATTATATTATTTTATATATATTTAGTATAATATATCTACGAGTTTTTTAAGCTGTTTAATGCTGTACAAAAATGTTATACATCAAAAGTTAATCGATTCGAAAAATTGAATTATTTATGAATAGGTAGTACAAAAAGATCAAATATATTTTTAAAATAAATTATACCTTCCATAAAAAAGATGTAAGTCATTGTATAGTAGGTGTCGAGTGCACTTAGTACATGCACTTTTTCATTGAGTCTGAGTGACCTACTAACAGTACACGATATATGGATGTGTTCATTTATTGACAATACATTAAGTTTATTAATACCTAATAACTGATTATACCTAGCCATATTCCCCAAAATTCGAATCTAATTATTTCGGTAAATTTTTATTGTTTCAGAAATGTACAAACATACAACAATCAAATGTTCAAAATAACAGTATCTAGTATCAACCTTAATTCAAAAATTTAGAAATAAAAAAGTATAGGGAACCAAAATGGCTTCCGTTTCAAAATCGTCTACTTATAATTTATCTACTAGTTCAGACTCAGAAAATGAAATTAGAAGTATTATAAAACCTGATACTGCTAAAATCGATTTTAACAAAACCTATAATACGGAACTAGCTTCAAGCTTATCACGCCAAACTACAAACAACTCGTTGAGGTATTTTAAAAAACTTAAAAGAAAAAAACCCGTATATGAATCAGATTCTAGCTCTGTATCATATACACTAAACCCATCAAAGGATAAATGTAATCTACCTGATTCAAAAAACGTGTCAAATTACAAGAAAAAAAAACTCGGGCTTAAGAACAAAAATACCACATATAAAAATTCAATTGATTTAAATAAAGAATTTACAAACGCTTTTGAATCGTCTTCTGATTCTGATTTTCCTGATATAAAATATTTAAGAGCTATTTTACAAAATGAAGAGATTAATACTTCACCTGTCAGTAAGGATTCGAGACAAAATAAATCGTATTCGAGTTTAAGAAGTAAAAACCGACCAACATCAATAAATATTTCTAACATTACTGAAAATATCAAGAACGACTTAGAATCATCAATGTCATCAGATGTAACAGATCTTGGGGTTTCTCATGTAAAAATTGACTCTGTTAACTTTCAACAGAAAAATGTTTACACTAATAATGAACTAAATTTGGATAAAATATTATCAGATTGTAGTCTATCTGATGTTTTATTCGTTAGACAAGATAACAGTGATTTAAAAAGCCAATTTTATCCCACACAGAGTACAGATACTTCAATTATACAAATGAAATCCCCATTAAACATAAGTTTGGAAATTGATAATGAGCTTCTATCGCAGCAAACATCAAACGCTATTATAGATATACCGGATTTAATCGACAACGAGGCTGTAAAAGTCGAACAAAATTTAACTGTTAATGAAATTGAAATTTTCAAACCTGAACTTATATCAAACAATGAAGAGTCCAATAGTAATGAAGCGAAATCATTTTCTAAACAAAAATCAAATTTTCATATATCAACTGAAGAAAGTGTTATCTCAGAACAAATTTGCAATCATTGTAATCGTTCTAGTAAATTAAAAACTGAAAATACCAGTGATAGTAAAATAAGAAATACAAAACGAAGTAAATTACGTTCGCACGTTAAAACACTGACAAGTACATCAGATATTTTGAGAATTAAAAAATCATGTGATAGCAAAATAATAAAAAATTCTGAGAAAATAAATGAAACTGTTGACGATATTGGTCTAGAATATGATGCAGATAAAGACAACTATATGGTTGAGTTACCAAATGGAGCTTTAGTTCCAGTATTTTTATCAACATTAAAACCTAAGCATGTAAAAAAACTTTGTGCATGTGGAATTACTTTATCTGATATTCCTACTTATTGGAGCGAATCCTTTCATGATATTTTACATCAAAATATTTATAAACTACGTTTTATAGGGGATGTATCGGCTGATGACACTGTTAACATTAAACAAAATGATTTATTATTTAGAATTTTAATGTTACGTGAAAACCATTATAATAACGAAAGCATAAAAAAATCAATCAAAGATATAGATGATTTTGTGTGCTTAGAATATGGTATCTCCAATATTAGTATTCAATCATATAGATATTCCACATATTTAGCGGTTCTACCTAATTTCAAGGTGATAGGATATTTAGAAGTGAAGCCCATACAAAAAGCGTATATATTTACCAATGATGATAAATATTCAGGAAATACAACAGTACCTGTGAAGTTTGGTGTATCAAAGATTTGGACTTTAATAAAATACAGACATAAAAACGTCGATGTTAACTTGTTAGAAACATTTTGTGAAAAAAACAAAATTCAAAAGAAAGACTTGGCATTTTCCTTAGATGGAAGTCAAGGTGTCAAATTTATTCAAGAATACACAGGAAATAAAAATATTTTTATTTACAATGAAAACGCAGCCTAGTTATTAGTATTTATTATTAGAATATATGTTTCTATACACCTATAATCTATATAGTAGACATCAGGTGGTAATGATTATTTACAATGATAAGTACCTATAAATATTTTTGGAATGTCATACTATAAATTTATTTAATTTTTTCAAATACTTATTACTATTATTAATTTAGTGCTCTAATTAAACTCTATATAATATTAGTTTTATTAATATTGTTAGAATTTCTAAAGATTAACTTAGCTGATGATTTAAAAAAAAAAATCATGAATTTATTAAAACAGAATATTATATTATAAGTTACGATTACTTATACAGTATACCTACATCTATAGTTTTTCTTTTTTAGTTTCTATAATAAACATTGTAAATAATTTAAAATTGAGTATTTTCTAAAATCTAAATGTTAGTCTTAGTCATTACTAAAATATAAATATATAATATGATATTGTATATTTCTATGTATTTAGTGCTATATTTTTTTGTAAGTTATAATAATTATAATATTATTAAATGACTAATTTGTTCTATTATTATGTAGGTATTATCATATCGGAAGCGACGGAAGCTACATGTATTATAATATATTTTTAAATTGTTGTTATTCCTATGTATGTGCTATATTTATCAAGGAAAGATTCATCAAATGATTAACATTTATTTGGCTGCGATTTTAAACGGAATGCAATCATCATCTACTGTAGTTTGTAAAAGGGTAAGTACCCACCAACTCGACATTCGTTCATTCGTAGTTATTGTTACTTTTTGAATCTATACAATTAAATCCAATTTAAATTACGATTTTATAATGTACTGCTGTACTAGGGAGTAGGTACATGATAATCAATTATAGACTATAGTTGATTCGGATAATTTGGACAAAATAAACATTTTATTCTGGATGAATAAATATCACAGTCCTTCCAGGTAACATAAGGATCAATTTCGAGAAATTTAACAATAATTTTATCGGTCTAAAAAACTTTTTACGATTAAAATATTTGCGTCTTCTTCGTAAAACTAAACAATTGATGCAAATTTTGAACCATTTTAATTTTAAATTGCAGTATTGCACTATGCTTTTCATACTGTTTTGAGTTTTTCGTGGATTTAGTCGTTTTTTAATTGTCCAGAATATTAATTATTACTTACAACTTACAAGTTAAAATAGTTATTCCATTAAACCATACTACTATGCTGTTTAATATTTCGTATATTATCTAAGATTGCATTCGTATCCTATATTTCTCATTGATTGATTACTGATTAGTTCAAAAGTAATCACTGATCACATTAGTCATAACTCATAACTCATTATACACGACAAAAAGTCTATAATAGATATGCGGTAGGTATAATGACATGCATTATGACCATGAACTAAGATATACCTATACCTATATCTTAGTTCATGATTATGACTATTATGAGAATTTATTATCTCGTTCTACTATTCTTATCAGATGTTAATAACAATAATAATATTATCAATTGTATCATAGTCGGTCCGCGCGGTCGAGGATAAAATGTTCTCGGATAAATAATAGTTCTCACATTGTCTCACGTGTTAACGACGTTACCGTTTAATTTTCTTTCTTTCAACTTTTGAGTTTTGACACGAAAAATATGACTATAAACCGGTATTTATTATATTTTTCATACATTGGAACTAGATTTCGGTAAGAAAATTAAAGGTACTTACTCTATGTTATCAACGATGTTTAATTATTAAAAATGTGATGCCAAAAGTTACATAAGACATTTTATTTATTTAATGGTTTACTGAAATGTAATGTACCAATCATGAGCTACTAAATTATGTTTAAAGAACCATACGTTCGCCATTAAATAAATCATAAAAGGTTTGAATGTATTGACATCGAGCATCTTGTCATTAAGCCAGGAAAACTAGAAAAATCTTCCATTTAAGTATAATTTATGAAATGAATTGTTTATTTTTAAATTGTTTTATAATTTTTTAGCTACAAATGCTCCAATTCTGATATTTTTGGAACAAGAATCTAGGTATTACAATACATGAAAATCAATTTTTTTTTCAAAATATATTTGTGTGCATTATGATTTATACTATTTAACATAGATAAACATTTTCTTAGAGTAAAATATTATATTTGAAATTAATAACAATTACCTTATTCTAGTTTATCAATATAAATGCCCCTACTGAAATCGCACCAGTAAAATCTGTTGAAACGAAGTGTATCTTTGCAATGGGTAGACTGTTGACTACTCTGTGAACTTCTTTTTTGGTCTAAAGTGTACATGATGATATGGCTAATGACATTAGGCGTTCATAAGTTGTATAATAAAAGTGTTTTATACATGTTATATCCTAAATTAACCGTAAATTACTTGGTATAAAATATACCAATTATCAATTATACATCATAATTACGCAAACCCTTGACCAGTTAGTATGAATAGTGAATAGTTACATGTACTAACAATTATGTTTCACAATAAAACTCTTGTAAATTTGTAAATAATATTAAAGATTATTTTGTTTTATGTCATACATTTTAGAGATTATCTTATGTGGTTAGTATTGATAGGTCCCACAATGTAAATACGGTATAAGATGTCTTCTCTACATCATGTTAGGCTCTTAACCTCACCCAAATAGTAGTTGGAACAGAGCTAAAGTTAAATACTTGTCTAATATTTTCTTTTATCTCTGACTACACTGTTTATAATGTTCGCACATGTGACTTAAGGGCAACAACCTTTATTAATTGTGTACTTTAAAGTAAGTAGATTATATAATACTGATCAAACTCCTTATTTGTTTACCTAATATAATAGATTGTGTTTAAATTTTTAGTGGAGTACAACGACAATTAACTTATGATATGCTACATAATGATGATCCATCTTCAGTACAAGGATTATTAGAATATGCTATAAAGCAGTTACAACCCTTAAATATTCCAAAGTTACATTTATCAAGCCGGTTAGTAAACATCTAATATTATATTGGTCAATTTTGTAAATGGTTGAAATCTTAAGATGTCCTTTGAGATGTATTGATAATAATATCAAGTATAAATTCTTATTTTGGAAGCAGAATTTTAATAACTAAACAATATTAATATATTATACCACAGAATTGAATAATTCATTATACCTCTGTTCAGAATAATGGGTTAAGTTCAAATGGTAGTTTAATGATTATTCAAATGAACAATATTACTATATTAGTTTCAAATAGTTCATTTTCCTACTTTAATGCTTTGTAGTGCCAGTGCACCAAACAATCTCAAGTCCATGTGCAGTAGATGGCCACTCAAGCATCTTCTTATTCTGAATTGAGCATAAATATTTTGTACACTAAAATTACTTTAGTGTAATGATGAAAATTTAATATAATTATTATAAATTATGTGAATATTTAATAAAATTTAAAGGTATAAAGGTATAAAGATTTTTTAAGGTTAGATAATCGATAGTTTTAGGAATAATATTTTTTTAAATCATCATGATTTGTCCTCAGACATCTTAATTTTAATATGTTTATGCTTATCCTCATTCCTTAACAATAACTATTATAACTTATTTTTTGCAAAATTGATTTTGCTGTCAAATTTTTAAATTCTGTATATTCACATAATATTTAAATAAAATTTTTATTAAATCAAAAAATTATTATAAATTATAATATTAAATGTCCAATTCCAATGTTGTTGAAGTAATTTTTTGAAACAATATGCTTATTGTACTTTTTTGTGTATAGATTGTATAAGTTCTAGATTAAAAATAACTAACAATACATGACAATTTTTTTTGAAAAATTAAATTAATAAATTATTTTTTATTTTATTCTTAGGACAGATCAAGGAGTTCATTCATTTAAGTCATCTGCTCATTTAGATTTAGAATTACCGTATACCTGTCATCCCAACAAACTAGTATTCCAAGTGAATAACTTCTTAAGCTCATGTGAAGTTCCTATTAAGTATGTTTAAAATTTGTGATTATAAATTATATTCTATTCTATTTAAAAATTATAATTCTAATAATTGGAAAATACCTTGTTATTTATATTGGTTAGTTTTTCTTTCAATTAATATTTTATTTTTTCAAATTATATTATAATCATAATTATTGAAATGTATTTTATTTATTTAATGTAATAATAATAAAAAACAATATAATTTTTCATAATAAGGCTAATTGGTGCTCAAATAGTTCCTAATAATTTCAATGCAAGATCATGTGCAAAGTGGAGACAGTATTTATATCGATTAGCAGTAGTCAAATCAGAATTTAAGGATCTATACGCGGAGAGATTCGTGTTTCCAATCCCAATTACAGAAGTGAAACGTTGCTATTTTATTCAGTGAGTTATTATTATTATTTTATTTGGAACTAATATCCCCATTTAATATTTTTCACTGATTTCAGAAAATGTGATTTTGATGTAGAACTTGTGAAGAATGTACTTCCACTGTTTATTGGAACTAAAGATTATAAAACATTTATGGGAAAATCTGGAATAAATCCTGAGTAATTTTAAAAACATAAATATTTTATAAATTATATACTTTATTTATATTAAGAAGAAACTTAGGCAACCGACTTGTAGGCAGGGGTATGGTTTTACTATATAGCAAGCATACAGATGGTTTACTTGGTAGTCGGAAACAAAAACCTAGTAATCTAAAATAAACACACCCACGTTAAAATAGACCAGGTACAAAAATAAAAGTTTATTTAAGTTCAATTTTTTTTTCATTTTCTAATATCATATTTTATAGGGTTTTTAAAATTTATTTTGTTATATTGTTGGGTACCTACTACCTAGTACCTACGTACATAGTTGAATATTGGTTATTTAATCAATATGCAATATTCCTTTCAATAAATTGCATTTTTATTACACATCTATTGATAATAATTTTAACATTTCGACTTTTTTAAGCCAAGTACTATTTACTTAATTTATACTGTGGGGTATATACCTCTATGTATCTAAATCATTACATAAGATTAACTTGAGCAAAAAAAAAATAATGTTTAGCTCAAAAAATAATATAAATTTTTTTATGGGGCTTTTTTTCCTGGATGAATTTCTTTTTGTAGGTTTTTTTTCTACAATTTGGTTTACTTAGATAGGCGATAAACAGGTGTTGCCTAACCGGTTACAGTTGAGGTTCCTTCTTAACATAATTTGAGTTAGAATATTGAACATTTATAATATGAATTAAATGTAACCAACAGGCTTAAAATTAGTTCTTTAATAGACTTCTTGTTTATTTGGAAAAGTTGGTAGATGTGATTATTTCTAATTTTTGTAACTCAGATAACAAAATTATAAGTTTCTATTAAGAATTACGATATTTTGTGGTTCTTTATACTTTACATTATTTGGTTTTACTGTACATCCTCGATTAATGTCAATGTTAGGTTCCTAGAAAACAACATTAAGTGAGACACTTTTTAAATGTACTGAATTAGGATATTGTGCTCTTGCTAATATATAATACATAACAATAATAAGCATTACATAACAATTGTATAGTGCAGGGCAGGAAAAGTGTCGTTAAGCAACTTATTATCGAACAAATGTAAAAATATTACATACATCATACTTGGTACATACAAAATAAATATATAATATGATTTCCACCCCCAGAAACCCATTGCCAAATGCCAATTCTAATAATGACTCATCCACGGTTCGTACATATGATAGGCATGTCAATAAAATCAATAACAGCATTATCTGAAAAAACCTTGAGAACTGAAATTAAATTAAATTATTGTACTTACAATCTAATATTAAAAATAAAAACTAAATTATAATAAAACTATTGCATTGTTAAACGAAATACAAGGATTTAAAATATACCATGCAATAGCAAGACAACGTACACTAATCAAGGATATACAGTATTTTATATTTCACTTCTCTTATTAACGAAGTCTAACACATCTATTATTAGATTTGTCAGTGCTTATAGAAAGTTAGCGATAAAAATTTTAACTGTACAATAAATTACATTTATGAATTATTAACTAAAAATTCTGATTTTAAATTTTGAGTGATATAACAATATAAGGAATGTATTTTATACATGTTATATACTACACCTTTGACATTAAAATTTTTTTTCTCTAGATTAAGTTCAATACGTACATGGAATAATATTGAAATAGTTCCTGGGCGTTCATTTTATCCGACAGATATTGACAAGTATTACAATTATTGGGATATTCGTGTTAATGCAAAATCATTTCTATACAAACAAGTATGAGTTTATTATTCACTTAATTATTATTTTTATTTTTTAAATATTATTTTAATAAACAGTTTATATTTATTTTTTAAGCACTGAATAACCAACAGTACTAGCATTTTTTTGTGAATTAAATGAATCAATATTCCTATTTTATGAATACTACCATACTTGGTTATTTCACCAAATTTTAATCTCAGGTTGGGTGTCACTTTGTTGTGTCCTTTGATCCTTTCATTAATAAACACACATATTTAAAATAGAATACTTCATTACTGTTTTGTTCTACAATAACTGCATCAAGCAAGTGCTTACTGCTGAAGAACCCACTTTTGTCCTCTCCTATCTCTTATATATTGTAGCTTAACCTAGTTTCTATGTTGCTACATTTGTTCTTAGTTTATTAACAGTCCAAAATTTACCGACTAAGACTTAATACTAAATTGTATTACATATTACATAAATGTTTTATTAATGTTTATAACTTATATATTGCAACCACTAACAGGTAACAACATAGTATACCCTGATCTCAAGGTCTTGAGGGGCCTGGTCCCAGTTTTTAAAATTTTGTTTGTTAAAATATAACTTAACACATTACACACTTGTACACAGAAACATTTTTCTGAGCTTCTGCTTTGTAGTTATGAAGACTCATCATGATAATTCAAAAATTATTGTATCCTTAAAGTTAAAATAACTTAATATTGCATTTCATAAGCACAAATTATGTTTTAATATCTCAACTGAACCATTGTTTTTTTTATTTTATAGATTAGACGTACTGTCGGTGTGCTTATTAAAGTTGCTCAAAATATAATTACATATGATGATGTTAAATATATGTTTGATAATCCATCAATTAATAGTTGGAATCCAAAAGTATCAACGGCACCAAGTCATGGCTTATATTTGTATGACATAGGATACGATGAAAAAGATTTAATTTTACCAATAGAACACAATAAATTGGAAGAACCAGTTCACAGTGAAAGTCCGGTGGAAATTACTTTAGATTTAAAAAAAGAAATAGTGAAACAACGTATAGAAAATCGAAGAGTTGCACTTGAAGCTCGTACAGCCAAGTCAATAGAAAAAATTAAAAATCATGAGTTTCTTAGATCAGTTAAAAAATAGAAAAAGTAGTTTATTAAGTGTTGAAACCAAAGTAACTACAGAAAGTGGTCTAGTTTTTAAAGAAATAAAATTAGCAGATGGTTTTAAAAGACAACTTTTATTGAATGAACAAACTCATGGTTTTATTGTTGATTCTAATCCAGATCTTAATGCTGGTCATGTATTTGAATTTTTATACTTTGGCTCGCAAGATATTGCTTGTGACCCAAGTATTTTAAATGCATTACAAATTACTGATATATTGAGTATTGGTGTAGAAGTACCTAAATACAATAATTATATGTATAAATTTATTGAAGCCTATGATTTACCATCATTTAATATGAATAATATTTTTGATGATACCTTTTTATACATTGAAAATATTCGTTTAACGGGTCGTCGTATATTTATTCATTGTAATGCTGGCATATCTCGTTCGCCAACAATTGTTATAGCATATGTTATGAAGCATTTAAAAATTGATTTTGATCATGCTTTAAAACTTGTTAAGGAAACCAGAACAACTATTAAACCTAATGCTGGTTTTCTTTCACAATTAAAAGCTTATGATGAATGTTTGAAAAAAAATTTGTATCTGTAAATAAATTGAAAATATATGTGTTTATAATTTAATATTAATTTGAATTTATTGAAAATTTCCATAACAGTAGCTACAATTATTGGAGGCATTGATGTCTATGAGAACGCCTATGACATCATTATTTTTAAAGCTTAAGCACCCGCCCACCCTTACATATTTACAAAAAAATTCTACTATTAATTAACTTATGAAATTTGCTATAGGCAACTCCAATTTTTTGTTTCCTCTGCTGCAATACTATACAGGCTGACTAGACTGTGTAATTCCCTCTGAAATAACCTTTAGTCACAATAGTGTGTGTAATGAATCGATTCGTATATATATATGTCTCATTATGTGCTACCATTGATATAATAATTATTAACTACTAACTTATAGTTAATACATTTTTAACAATGGTACTATTCTCAGCCATTCGAACGATTTCCTATTTTGTTGTTATTCAAAAAAGAATAACCATAGGGCGTAGATAATTAGAATGTACTCCATATGTTTATTTTATCAATTCATACACTTTATAAAATTGTTTATGGAGTATGGACAGTTTCAATTTTCATTTTTTTTTAGTTTTTTTTTCTATAAATGTCAATACAATTTTATTCATTGGGTCAATAATATTGAAAAATTAATACAGTGCTCCTGATATATTATTACAATATCAGTTGAAAAATATTTAAAATACATATTCATGATTTTGTTTTATAAGCATTTAAAGTTCAAATGTTGACAACATTTATCAAATTTAAAATTAAAAATGTATTTTGTAGTTAAATATTTTTAAGATGTTCAACTTTTATAGCTAAAGATCAAAAATGTAAGACAAAGTTGCACACAAGTAGTTAATTCTGCAACCATCAATTAAAAAAAATATACAAACAGTTTTTTTTATAGTTATTTTTTGTTCAAATTTGGACGAAATTACTTTATTAAATAATCAAGAATTATGATTTAAGTTATTTTGTGGTACCTAATTTAAAAACATTATTTGTGGGTAGGTTACCTACTTGAAACTTTTAGAGTATATTATTATTACAGTTCGATGTATGGCTCCAACAGCTATATTTCACTTAATGTTTGTGTTAAGCGTGAACAAATTTAAATAAATATCTTTACTATTAAAAGAAAGTTATCAAAATAATTCCACTGTGAGTTCGCCTTCGCCGATAATTGGCTGTAAGTCTACTTTTGACATCTGTGCTTACAACAAGAAAAGTATTAAAGTTGGATTATTAATTGATAAGCAGATTTCAATTATTATAATACTAGAATGTAAAACAACTAAAAAGAGTTTAAGCCTTGATCTAGAACTCTAGACCAATGGCTTTCATTAATGTGTGATAATAATATTATACATCAATTATTGATAATTATTGATAATCTACAAACTCGATGTAATCTTGTAAGAATAACTGATGACTTATAAGTTATTCTGTTAAGGTGAAACAGTCTTCAATTATATTACATTCTAATGAAAATTATATAACTTTCACCCTTGTCAACCTGCAAAGGTTGAAACAAATTCAACAGTGTATTGAATTATATATTATTGAAAAACAAAAAAATTGCAATCTTACCAGAAGACCTTTGGCACAGCAGATGTTATCCTCTTGTCGACGGAATGAATTTATAAACCAATACATTCAGAATTATGACTTAACTACTTAAGTTATAGTAATATGGAATGTAACGATATTTCTTTTATGTATGAATTATTACAGTATCATTATAACTACTATCAGATATGAATTTAGGGCTCGGAACTTAATGCACTTAAAAAGTACTAAATATGCATGCTCTTATGCGCTTAAAAAAGTACAAATATGCTCTAAAAATAATAAAAATTTAAAATATAAACTTGTATTATATTTTTTTACACAAAATTTTCATTTGCAGAAATATTTTATAAATTTATAAATATGGAAAAAACAAAGTAGGTAATAAGAATTATTTTGATTTTTAATTTTTAATCATAATTTAAACAGCATAAAAATGCCTCCAAAATGTTCCTGGAATAAAATAAATAATTATAAATCGGAACTGACAATAATATCTCGGCAGTTGTAGGTCTATTTATTAATGCCATCTGCACATCGACGATCAACAATAATCATTGAATTATTTCCCTAGAAAAGTATTTATACAAAATCATCGCTTTTCTATTGCAGATATTTCCATTTTATATTTATTTAATATTTATATATTCTATTTTAGATAAAGCAAGCTGTAGTTATAATTTATAAATATTTATACATTATATTATTCAATAGAGGAAAAACATTGTTTTTAATGCCAAGTGGAAAATAAAAAAATACGATATACAAGAATATCTAATAAATTCTTTCAATATGAATCTATTAATGTTTTTATTTACGAATCTTCATATATTATAATTTATAAAATAAACTCTAAAAAAATGTAAAATTAAGAAATATGCTCTAAAGTCTAAGTCATTAAATACCTATGCAAAAATATGCACTATAAACTTTTGATGTGTATTTCGTAGTGTCTTAGATTGAATTTCTAGCTCACTTAGCAATAAATCTAAAGGTCCAAAAAAACACGCAAGTGCAACAACTTCCGAGCTCTAGGCCATCTGGCCATAATATATGATATATACAAGACTTAACAGTCTAATTTTTTCTTTAATCAATTGCTAACCCATAATTTTTTATTTTTTTTATTTTACATTTCATAATATCTTGATTATTGTATTATTGATTAAGTATTGAATACTTGAAACATTCGTCATCGTTATTTTTTATACATGACTAGGTAAATCTAAATATGTACTTCCTCTTTTAAGAGGATTAACTTTATTGATTCGTAATTGTGTACACTGTACAATCTATAGATTTAAGTGACCAGTCTGATTTTTTGGTTTAAACTGTGCTTCCTCAGATAATAGTTTGTCAAACATTTTGTTTAATAAACTATTAAAATCGGATGATGTACACGCTAATACGTTTGAAGTTATAACCGACATATCTTGTACTTCACTCATTAAAAGTTGTTCATACGTGCTATCAACATGTAAATTAAATTAAATTGTTGACTGCTGGCTTGATTGTGCTAACCTAGAAATTAACACTTCAGAAACATAACTAAAAAATTCAGGTGGTAGTCTATTAATTTTTCCTTGTTCTTAACAATTATAAACGTTCTCGAACAGTTTTTAAATCGTTCAATTTCAACAAGTTCGCTCTCGGCTGATTCCATTCGTCTACGTTTGGTGATTGTATTTCTTTTCATTATGTAACTGTAAATAAATTTATTTAAAAAATAATAATAATAATAATACATTCGTTCATATTCCTAACTGATTGAGATTTAATTATTAGTGTATCAGATATTCAGCTTATTGTAATGTCTGTTTGTTTTAATTATTATTTCATCAGAACATAACAGAAAATGTAATCAAAGTACATTATCCAACGACAAATCACAGCCACCGAACGTGATCGGATTAGGATCATACGAACGCGTTGTAAGGTCATGGATAGTGGTATGCGAAGTGGGCAGCAACGAGGGTGTGATTCACCCACAGCACTGGAACTTTTGCCGTCTACGCACATACACCTAACGTGCGCGTACCGTACAATCACTTCTGTGGTACATAATTCTTACCCGACGGCTGAAACGTACAAGTTATACACAACAATTATTATACGCCGTTGTGGTACGTGTCGAGCTCGAATTTTTACGAATATACTTTCTGTTATATTAAATATTTAAATCACATTATATTATTTAAAACATTATAATAATATATCTATAGTCTATACCTATTACTGTTAATGATAGATTAATAATATTATATTAATAGCTAAGTCTTAGAATAGTTTTAGTCTATATTCAAAGATTATTCTAATTGTCTAAACAGCGAATTTAAAGAATTGTGAATTTGCATTTATAAAATGAATATTGTGATTGTACGTAGTTAAGTTTTAGTTGTTTTTTTTTCATATTTTAATTTTTTGGTTTTGTATTCTTATTTTTTCTTTATGCATTTTTTCTTCTTTATCTTCGTTAAAATTTCTTTGTTCATGAGATATATTTTCATCATATCTAAAACAAAAAATTCTAAATATGTTACGGGTACAGGTACGGTGTCAATATTAACAGGGAACGGGTTACTTACTAAATTAACTCCTTTTGTTAAGAACCGTCTACATACTATACATCGTGTATAATAACAATAATCTTTAAACTCTTGTATATCTTTAAATCGAACAAACTGGTATAAAGGATTATAAGTTCGAAACGTACTCGTATAACCACTAGATCTTTCACGATGATAACATGCAGTGCTACACAACTTTTGGTCAATTTTGAACAATGTCGAACAGAATGTCCCCAAGTCAGATGAGCAAGTAATTTCTGACAACGTGATCGTAGATGTTTGGTGCCGTACTCGATGATATGGTTGTGGTAAAAGACGTCTACGCTTCTCCATTGAATTGGCGTATGCGGCGCGTGATTGAGGTGTTGTCAGGCTCCGACAAGGTTGTCCAAGTCGTCAGGTTCCTTATTAGAAAAAAAAAATCTAACAATTACTACATCAATGTAAAGTGTAGCCGCTGGGTTGCTTATTTTATCACGCGATTCATGTCATACTTAATTCTAGCTCATATTCTTATCGTAAAAAATTAATTTACAGATTGTATATATACTAATTAAAAAATTTAAAAAATTTAAAAAACTCTTATGGCAAAATATTAACTTCTTCAATAATTAAGTTGGTTAGGAAAAGACAAAAGCTTCGTAAGACTATTTTATTTTACAATATGTAAAACTATTTATTTTTATAATAATATGTAACATTGTTTTAAATTGTCAAAATACCAATACACCATACATAGGTAGTAACCTAATTAAGGAACTCTTCAATTAAATATATCTAATTATTATTGATAAACAATAATATAATTGGTAATAGAATAGTACCTAAATAATAGTATTGTATACTACACTTGCCTAATGTTATTATGTTTATATATAAATGTAACAAGAAATCAAGAAAAAGAAAAGAAAAGAAAAGAAAAGATTATCATCAGAAGTTTAAATTAATTTAACTACAATAAATTATTAACATTAAACGAACATCAAATAATAAAATTAATTTGTTACCTTAACGAAAAAAAGACTTAACTTAAGAACCAAAAAGTTAAATTTTTTAAACATTTATTATGTATATTCGTGAGACATTGTGTTATCAAAATTATTACATGATGAGATACAAATGACCTGCTATAGTTATGGCGGATATGTGGCTTCAAAGTTTTTACAAAAGGTAGCTAATCTAGCAATCTAGTTTATTGTCTATATCTGTGCGCAAGGATGTGATGCTAAAAACCCAGTTGGTCACCCATCCGGGAGCTACGCTAGCAACGTTAGCCGGTGAGTACACTCAGAGGGTTTCCGCAGATTCAGAGTATGATCGCGCATCACCAAGCCTCTAATTACAATTTATAAATCAAATAATAATTTTAACCATGTCACTCACAAGTAGTTACAACATAAAAAAAAAAAATAGTCACGTAACAACGCAATTTGACGTTTTAGATATTTTGTGTTTGTTGTTCTTTCTTATATAGCCAATATATGGCTGCACATACATAATTATTTCGTACATACTGATAATACAGACATACACTTCTTAAAATTCTGTTAATAACAGACATTACGGAAATTTATTTGGTATAATAAGAAAATACGTGAATTACGTCTCCTCTTCAAAGGGTAAACTGTATACAATTATAAAAATGAATCTTAAAAATTCCCATGTTGTTAATTTACTCAATTCATTCTTAAATAATGTCGATTTTATTCATATGTGTTTAATGTTTATAATTAAATGTAAATCTATTTAGATGTATCAGACCTCAATTTTAACTCCCCAACACAAGCTATGCTCATAGGAGAGTAGCAAATCGTTTTAGTTTTTATTATATACATCTACATATATATTTTTTTTCTTCTAATTTATGTTTGATTTGTTGAATTTCTAAATAAATATTATTATTATTATGTAAAAAAGAATGATATTTAATTAATAGTTTCATTGACAAAATTAGTTAGTCTATGAAGTTCGTGTGAGCTGTGGTGAAAGCTGCTGATACATGATGTATATTTGGGGTTCATGACTTTTGCCTTATGGTATTCATTATATATGGATACTCTTCCCACCAAACTGATACTATTAAATAACTATTACGAATTCTATTATGTGTTTATAATATCAGTGCCTAAGTACGACGATTATAAAGAACTTTATTTACTTTTTCTTTATAATAGTGGTGAGTACACAAGAAGTATACCTACCTATTATGTAGTTATTAATATTAACAATATAATATACTAACTATCATATATTTTTTATTCAATGACTATAAAATTCAGACGCCAAGGATGACATAAAAATGTAGAATAGAATACATACATTTTTAAACTAATACCTGATTGAACACAGTCTAATGAAACGAGAAATTTATATTATTATAATATATGGCATGGCGATCTTGACGTAGTAAATCAGAGTTTTTAGTTGAAAGTTTACAACGCGACACAATAAGTGTAGATGTACTTTCATGTTTCCTTCCCATCGCTGTTAGGACGAGAGAATTCAACGCTACAAAATAACAATAACCTCCAGTGACATATTAGAATGATGTCTCTTAGGTAAGCCCAAGTTTCTACTTTAAAGTACTTTTATTATGATTCACAACAAAGCAAAAAAAACTTAGAATATATTATTTTTTTATTTAATAACAAAGTCTTTACAATTTCATGTATAAAGTGTTATTGTGTTTAGTAAACCTGCATGTAACACATAATTACCATAACCAGTCACAATTACGGCATATTCAATCACTACTTTAAAACATTGTGATAGATTTTATTAAAAAAAGAACTGTAATTATCTGCTGTAGTATTAAATTCACAAAACTGATCTTCCGTTTTGTCACCTGCAAAATAATTATTATTAGGTTTGTTGAGAGTGTAGAATAAAATGACCTTCCTCATAGACACGAAAGGAACTCTATTTATAAAAATCAATTTTTAGCCCAAAAACCTCAAAAATTTAATTGTTATCATTTTTACAATGAAAATATTGCAATTTTATTTTTTTTTCATCTATTATTATTATTATTTTTTTTTGCATTTTATTTTAAAATAATTATAGCAAAGCGATTACAAAATAAAAAACAGACAAAAAAAAAAATTAACAGACAATATAATTAAATATTAGCGTTAAATGAGAAAGCCAGCAGTATGAATGAATTGGATAAGAGAACGGATGACAGGGATGAAACGGAAGTTGAGAAGAAGATTATAATCGGGAGAAATATAATCAAAAGAAGAAAGAAAAGAGAAAAGGAGTTGTCTACTAGTTATGAGAGAAGGGCAATTGAAAAGGATGTGATCAAAATCGCATATCGATTCGTCGTGATGTAGTGTACAAAGAAGGGAAGAGTTTAGATTGAGTTTAGAAGAACGGTGAGGAAGTAAGCTATGATCAATGCGAAGACGAGTGAAAGATACGATTAGGCGCCTAGAAATCTCGAGGTCTTTAAACCAAGGATGTTTGGGAATAGAGGAAACTATGTGTCTATGCCATGCAGCATAGTTAGGTGGTAGAGAGTCCCATTTAGTTTTCCAGGTATTGCGCAATATTTTGCAGTGAATCGGAAGAAAATCTGAAGCAGATGTTTTATAAGGAGACAAATAGATGAGGGATTTTGTTGAAAAAGCTAGGTGGTCAGCTCGCTCATTACCGGCTATACCGACATGACTAGGGATTCAGAAAAACTTAACTATTTTATCAGCAAGACTAAGACGATATACTAAGGATTTGATGACGAGAACAAGAGGAGACAGGGCAGTTAAAAACGAATCAGAGGATATGACAAGAAGACATGATTGCGAGTCGGATAAGACAAGAAAAGAACTGTATTCTAATGTGAAAGTGAATTGCAGAGCGCTAATTATAGCATAACATTCAGCAGAGAAATATGATGTCAGGGGATGTAATTTGTTAGCAAAAGGAATATTGAGCGAGGGGATGAAGAAGGAGAAGCCGGCTAAGTTAGGAGACACCGAGCCATCAGTAAAAATTTGAACAGAGCTAGGAAAATTATATGAAATATATTCGTTAAACAAAGAATCAACCATAGTTTGAGGCAGACGCGGTAGTTCTTTTGGGGAATAGCCAAGGAAATTGGGAGAAACAGTTACTTCAGGAAAAAGCAAGAGTGTAGCGTAAGGCGTATCATAAATTTATAGCCGAAGGCTGGGGCGATAAACAAGTGGTGAAAAAGCAGAGAATGAGAAGGCAACAGAAGCAAGGATAGGGAGTGTTTTAGCCACATACGACCAAGAAGACTTAATGGAAACAAACATTTGGAAAAGTGACTGGTTATAAGAAGATAACGTTTTGAGTAAGAATTTACCAGCCAGGCGTCGACTTCTAAGTTCGATAGGAGGGCAGGCGCATTCCACCTCTAGACTTGCTAAAGGGGAAGAACATAGGGCACCAACTGTGGTGCGGAGGCATGATAACAGAATGGAGTTAAGCTTTTTCCTATGTGAGAGAGAAGCGGATGAATAAAGAAACGAACCGTAATCAGCTTTGGACCTGATTACCGCGTTAAAAATTTTAAGGAGGCATGAAGGGTGCGAGCCTCAGTGAGTGCCAGCTGTGGCACGGAGAAAGTTAGACCAGCGGGAGACTATGCCTTCTAAATATTGGAAGTGTGGAACCCATCTAAGTTTAGGATCGAGTTTAAGGCCTAGGTAGGTGACTGTTGACGATGGCTGAATAACTTGATTATTGAGGATCATATTAGGATGTGCTAAAATTTGTCTACGAGTAAAAATCATAAAGTGCCTTTTCTCAGGAGCAATGGTAAAAAACGCTGTAGATAAGGAGATGGAAAGTTGTTTTAAGGCATTGTTTAAAATAGAGTCGGATAATTCGAGAGATTTATTTGAGGAAAATAGCACAGTATCATCAGCATGCAATCTTACCCAGAAGTCCGGCGAGTCTAAGGATAGGCAGATTGGTGACATGTATATGTTAAAAAGTAAAGGACTGAGGCAGCTACCTCGAGGAAAGCCTCTGTATGTAGATCTGTCTGAAATTATCCTTGAAGGCGAGGAAAATTAGAGAAATCGTTGGAAAAAAAGTGAGGAAATAAAATTGCAAACAGAATAAGGGATTTGTAGAGAAGCAAGGCAAGAGATGAGGGTCGGGATGTGTACGGAATCGAAGGCGCCTTTAATATCTACAAAAGCAGCACATAAGTATTCTTTATTACAGAATGCTTTATAAACTGGGCCAACAAGGGATGACAATTCTTCTATTATAAACTTCAAGATTTTGATGTATCTATTCATTATTTTTTATAAAGACAAAAAAAACGTTGCCCAATTAAATTAAAAAAACGAATTAAAATTTAAAATTCTTAACACATATTTCATTAATATACATTATTATTATTTATACATACTGTTATCGTTTTCCGACTTATAATTATTGAATACAATCATAACATCTGTAAAAATTATCTACATTATGATAGTTTCCTATTGTTTCTGGTTCAATTACATTCAATATTCAATAAATAAATTTTTAGTAATCACTTAACAATAAAAATGATATTAAAACAAGTATGAAAAGTAATATTGTGTTTCTATATTTCAACAACGGAAGTTCTTTCAAACCACTTCTTTTATTGGCGGTAATTATTTAACTGAGTTAAT